ATTATTCTCTACTGGTTTATTGCTTGCACAAGCTTATTAGTCTGTCATTGTTAATGATAGACATATAATCCGACATCACTAAATGCTCAGTACTGAATTTTTTGTTGTTGTGACTATTGCTATAGCAGTTGAATGCAAAATAGGAAGTCTTGCAGAAGGAACGAGACGGAAAAAAGGTTTTTCACTTATTCTTTGGTCAATTAATTTTCCTCCGTCTCTACTTTTTCTCTCCCCCTCCTCGACTGACAACATCCCCATTCCAGGAGACAGTTTACGAACAATTATGATCCTCAGAGGAAGTTTACCTTTCCCTCCTCCAGCTCTCATAATTTCGTTTTTACTTCTATTGAAAGACAGATATTTTGAACGTTGCACGAAGTCTTTTTTTTTATGTAAAACACTGTAGAATATGTGGATAAGCTACAACTGCTGCGGTTCTTTAATGTTTATTCTTCATGTATTCCACCTTGCTCAGAAAATTACTCGTTCAACAGGTTAAAGTGATATTACCTGATTTCAGTTTTCCCATGCAGGTGCTGAAATTCGGTTTAAGCCGAGTCTCCCAACATTTGTGGAGTCAATTTCAACGACATCTTTGGCTGAAAGGTTGAACTCCAATCTAAGGAGAAGTGCTTTGAGAAAAGGGATCAGTATGACGGATAACAGAGAATTGAAAATTTTAATTTTGGGGGTGACCGGAAGTGGGAAATCCACACTCGGAAACGTCCTCCTCGGCCTCGAACACGATGACGTAAATGGCTTTTCCACAAGTCGTGGAGCAGCTTGTTGCACTCTTGAGGTCGCAACCAAGGATGGATTTTGGCTCGGAGACCTAGACAGACCCATTCGCGTCATTGATACCCCTGGGTATGGTGACCGCCAGGAAGTAGAAGAACAACAGAGGGAGGTATTTGTGGAAAAAATTCGAAAGGAAGGCGCAATTGACGCTTTCATTTGGGTGAAGAATTCCGAACACCCAAGATTTGATGAGCAGGAGGGCAATAGCTTGAGTTTGCTTCGTGAAATGTTTGGAGACGCCTTTCACAACAATTTGGTGGTTGTCTTGAGTCGATGGAAATTCGGCAAAGGAGACGAAGATCGACGTCAACGGAGAAGAATACCAATAACATTGGACGCAGTCAAGGGTGACTTCTGGACTTCCTTGGTCGAATGCTTCCCAGGAGCGCAACAGGGCATGATTCCTATGGTTGCCGTCGATGCATGCTTTAACATATTAGATGAAGATGAGATAGGTGCATTTCGTACAGAAGTGGATTTACTCTGGAATGTTGTCATAAGTTTCAGCGAACAGCCCGTGGATAATATTAGAGTAGCTCACGAAAAAATGGAGGTGATGAGAAGAGAAATAGCTGAACTTCAGGAAAAGCTATCGAAAACTGTCAATGAGTTTTCAGAAGAGAGAAAGCAGCTAGAGGCTCGTCTACAGCAAGCAACAAACTCATTATCCCAAATACAACAGAGATATACAAGTGGAGGTGGGCGATCTTGCAATATTCTGTAACACATTGTAGGCACTCCGTGGAGGCATACTCGTATACGAAGTAGCTTCCACTGGGATGATTCGACAGGATCTCATCGTCGAAGACATGTTCGCCAGAATCAAGAAGGTCTTAGAACTATTTGTTTATGGTTTCCTAGACGATTCTGACCTTCAAATAATGATTAATAAAGTGAAATTCATTGAAATGGCGTGCATTATTCAGCTTAGAAAATGTACTTTATTACATCTTAATGAAATGTGCTCCTGTAAGCTGGTGCATAGCACAGGTGTACGTATCACGATTGCAAAAAGTATACGGAAAATCGCAATTTACTTAGGAACAGATAATTGCCATCATCGTGACATCCATGGTATGTTGTGACTTCCAACTTTCGTGTCCTTCATCCATTCTCTGCGAATATTGTGTTAAGAAGAGCTGTCACAAAAGGTCTGATACACATTTTTCTGTAAGTACTTTTTAACCGTGATGTACATGGAGATGATTTCTTTCAAGGTGGTCCGCTTGGTTGTCACAAACATTTTTCCGCGGTCATACAATAATGTGAAACGGTTGCAGACCATTTTCGCAACAAACTTCAGAGCTGCGGTCGCGACAGCATGCGCCTCCTCAACGTCATCAGAATGACGACCCTTCAGGTGAGACCTCTGGCGCAGGATGAGAAAGAAATCGCACGGAGCCAGACCTGCCGAGTATGCGGGATGGGATGGACATTGTGCCTAACCTTTAGAATCCCAAAGTCGCGATATATAGTCTCTTCCTAATGGAATACAGCTGTACTTCGGAGCGAATGAGGTTGGTCATTACAGTGACTGATGTGTGGACCGAGGCATTGTCCTGAAGTAGGTAATCTCCATTAATGTGGCCGTTTTCTACGAATGGAATCGACTAAACGCCGAAGGACTTTTTGATGTGGTGCTCCCTGTGCTCTATGAATTGGGTGATGCTACTTTGAAGGACATCACGCGCTTAACATATATTCCAAGAAAAAACGTTCATTGGTACTTTTTGACTGGCCCTTGTAAAATTGAGCTAAAAGAGCTGCTGGTTCAGCAAGAGTACTGATAGGCTGTTTTGCACCATCACTGACTTTCACTCGGATCATACTTCTGAAGTACTACAGTAGTATGATCCGAGTGAAAGTCAGTAATGGTGTAGAACAGGGGTGTCAAACTCAAATCGGTCGGAGGGCCGCATTCCCTACCCTGCAGATGCCTGCGGGCCGCACCCATAATTTTCCACTGAAATTTGTGGTGACAGTCTATCCAAGCATAAATTTCTAAAACACACGGCGGGCCGGATGAACCACCTCCGCGGGCCGTATGTTTGACACCCCTGGTGTAGAACATCGCAGAATCTGTGATTTTTTGCCGAGAATGCTTCCTCTATATCCGATTCTTTTTTTCTGTATTTTTCAGTTTCAAAGGGAAATAAAATGCACCCTTTCGACGCACCAGCGGTGAAAGACTTATTGTATCCAGAAAGGATTACTCGCATATTTTCTTTCCGGGGTCATCGAAGGGGAAATTTCCTCTTCAGGAGGAAAAAATTCTAATGTTCAAGCGCGGAGGATTGAGACATTCTCATGGACGAACTCTGAAAGCCTATGTTATGGACCAGATCAGTTGGTGGGTCTCATACACGGTGGTCGGACTACTTTGCGAACCTTTCCCACTCCAGGCGCGGTATGCTATTTCAATTTCTAAGTAAGAAATTAGCGATATTTTTGTTTCTGCACATGCCTATGCCAAATCTACCAAAGATTCATTTTTTAAAACTCTTTTTCCCTTCACCCGGTCTCATTACATAGGATAAACTTAAGGCCCTGTTACACTTGGCGAGTACTAGCTAAAGCCTTCACTTAGTGTAAAATTCCACTCACTACCAATCGCTAGCGAGTACTCGCTAGGACCATTCCCTTAGTTAACACCCCACACTGCAAGTTTGAAAGGTTTCAAACTTCAGGCGAGTACTCGCTAGTAAGGGATATACACTAAGCGAGTGGCCCTAGCCGCCCAAGCGAGTGGGATTTTACACTTTAATAGGGGAAAATCGGGAGACAGCACGCATTCCAACCCTAACGAGAGTGCAACTATACAACTTTCCGGCGTTGAAGCACTGATGCCAAACGGAAAGCACAGTCGGGATCACCCAAATTTAGCCGATTCCCGGTCTCAGGAACATCAACGGCTAGCAGCGCACATAGGCCCGGCCGTATGTAGGAAGGCGACATGCGATATCTAGCACAATTACTACCGCACATCACCCTTTTTACTAAAAACTCTTGTCCGGAGTTCTTCCTTTGAATGAGGGTGATTCCTTTAATTCCTTTACTGGATGAGAGGAGCGCTAAGAACTCCCGCGCTCTTCGATTTTTCCCAGTGTTGTTCGTGAGCGTTTTCAAAGGAGTGAATGTGACGAAAGAGTTAGCTATTCCGCAAGTATGCATTTTAACGATGGAAACCATTCGAAGAAACGTGTGGTGGGTTTCCGTGTGAACGCAAGTGGCAATGAACACATGAATCGGCCCGTATTTCATTACGGACACTAAATCCCTCACTTCTCGGTAGCTGTGAGAGATGTCGCCTACCATTGACGAGTCCTCCGCCAACTCTCGTCTCCTCGTCCATTCTGAAGATGGCGAGACGAGAGCGAAACTCCGCTTTTCCCTGAAGTGCGTCGAATCATTAAATATAATTCAGGAAAGGCTCATTCTCGGATGATGAAGATTTATATGAAAAGCCCGTAATTCATATCTCAAAGCGTTTGGCATGTAGAGCTGTCACATACAAATAAACAAACGCAGGTTGCTCGGTCCAGCTTGCGGCCAAGATCGCGCATCTTGTGCGCGTATTATCACGATGTCTTCACAACCGAGGTCCTCTGGTTTGAACAATGTCTTTTGTCTCCATGACTGTAATTTAAAGGTTTTTTTATTATTTTGGTTTCTTACTCGTAATTGACTCGTGTTCCATCATCCAGAAATTTCGAAAAAAATTGTAAAACTGTTAACACGTTAATATATGCCCATTCCACAATTCCTGCAATTTGCAGAAGGGCTGAAGCCCTTCGTTTTTTGGCTGTTTTTATATTTGCTGGGGGGGAGAGAGATTGGGGGGTGTGCGAACTCATCTATGTATTCAGACAAACCGGGCCTCTCCAGAAGGTCAGTTCAACTTTGGAGATAAAGTGAAATGAACTTAAAATGGTGACAAATATTGCACTGGGATACTTTGTGCAGAAGGCACTATATAATCCCAAAATTCTCCGCAATGAGGTAAATCGCTTATAAGTGAGAGCGATAGGTGTCATGATCTTGAAGTTTGCGTGGATCTCGTTACCGTTCCCACACGCAGTTATTGCGACTTCACCCCCCCCCCTCTTTATTACTGCTTATATGCTTGCACATACTGGAGATGGTTATTAAGGAATCAGAATAACGTATTTTCACAGACGGAATCATCTTAGCAATTTAATTTGGGTCTTTTCAAGTGAATTATGCGCAACGTTGGTGATGATTCACATTATTGCACATTCTAGAAAGGTACTCGGATCAAGGTTTTCAAAAGCTGTTCCATCCTCGCATACCCCACCCAATATGCTCCCCAGGAATTCTTGATTGAGAACTAGCCATGCCATACTGCAATCGCACTGGATGGGATTTCCTGCAATACAGAAAGAGAAAAAATGGTGATGAGTGCCAAGGAAATGGACCTTGGGAGGCAACTAGGACAAGAATAATATGGTTGATCACGCTTTACATAGCCAACCTCAAAGGTTACAATGCGCTTTACTTCTATAATTGATTTTTATATTCCAACACCTTCTCTTCAATTTTTCTTTCTCCCAAACCAGATATGATGATTTAACGCATGATGACTATTTCGCCTTCTAGAGGGTGGGCCAAAAAAAGCCACAAATTTGAAGTTTAAAAGCTCGGGCCCCGTTAGGCCAATATCAATTGCTAAAAACCAAAATGAAGCTTGTTCAATTTTCTTTCGAACGATATGTAACTTTCGGGAGGGGGTTGCTTCAGAGAAATGGCCGCTATTACAGTTTTAAAAAAAGTGACGAAAACATTTATTGAAAACTGCTTTCCTGAGTTCTTTCCAATGTCGCGCTGCTGCTGTCGCGAGTTCCTACCGCGCACCCCCTTCTCCCACGCGCCCCTGCATGATGCGGATTGGTTGATGAGAGATCATGAGGCTGTTGTAAATTGTGGGAGGGCACATTGAACCATTTTTGGGTCAAAAAAGGGTCTGTGTGCATGTGAGTGATCAATTCGAGGTTGAGGAAAAGAAACTTGGAATAAAAGCCCATTTCAGGAAAATTTTCCGTCTTTAAAAAAAAAACTGTAATGGCGTCCATTTCTCTGAAGCACACCCCCCAAAATGATATATCATTCGAAAGAAAATTGAGAAAGCTTCATTTTGCTTTTTTAACAATTGATATTGGCCTAACTGGGGCGCAAGTTATTAAACTTCAAATTTGTGGCGGTTTTTTTGGCCCACCTTGTATATGCCTGATAATTGCAGAAGTGAGCTGCCCTTATGCCTACTATAGGACTGTGGAGGGATGTCCCTGACTGAGGGGCTGTGACGCCTGTGACATGTTGGCGCTCACTTCCTCCATGCATTCCGTAATAGGTAAATGAATTTCTTAGATGTCAAAATCTGTAATGCTTTGATATGCTGTTATAAATAATAATCATGCCTAATTGTAGGTCATAATTTACCTATGAAGATTCTTCTGATTTTAAATATTTACTTTTAAAGATGTGAGCTTTGCGCTTCCCCCATTTGTCTCCCTAAGTGGATAACGGGCCCATTGGTAGGGTTTCCTAGGGTTAATCTCCAAGTAATAGCTAATGAAGGAGACTGTAACATACTTTTTGAACGGGCCTCTCTGCCTATGGTCCAAACGCGTCCTTTGTTAACCCGCGCGACGGACGAAGCGGAATGACCTTTCTTGTTAGACCTGACCATGTTACAGTGTTTGGGCTACTCATTGTCAGCTCTCTACCCTTCAGCCAGACTGGCATGAGTGACCCTACTCGGAGCATTGATTTCAATGCTCTAGCCAGTATAGTCCTCAGGGTCAGTGAGATACATAAGTCCTCTCACCGGCAAGGTGACAGGCAGGATTATTATTTTTCCAGGATTATGGGATGGATGACCAAAAATTTCTATAGGTTTGCTCTGAGGTCTGTGTCCGAGTAAACGGTGTTAAGTCGAATCCTTTCAGCGTGGGTGTTGGACTCCACCAAGGGTGCGTACTGTCACCTCCCCCTTTCATAATTTTTATGGATTGTATCAGCAGACGCAGCCAAGGCAGCGAGTGTTTCGGAATTGATGTCCAAATAAGTCATTTGCTTTTTGCAGATGATCTTGTCCTGTTGGCATCCTTTGAGGCTGACCTCCAGAAGGCACTAGACAGGTTCGCAGCCGCATGTGACAAGGCTGGGATGAAGATCAGCGTGGCCAAAACCCAGTTCTTTGTCCTCTCTAGACAGCCTACTCAATGCACTCTGCATGTCAGTGGAGCCGCATTGAAACAGGCGGAGAAGTTCAGATATCTCGGGATGGCATTCACGAGTGACGGTAGGCAGAATGTTGAACTAGACACACGGATCGGTCAAGCAAGCACTGTAATGCGTGAGCTAAACCGGTCTGTGGTTATGAGGGAGGAACTTGGCACAAAGGCAAAGCTCTTACACTCCTATCCTCACCTATGATAATGAGTTAAGGGTAATGACCGAAAGTGTACGATCGCGAATACAAGGGGCCCAGATGAGATTCTTACGGATTGCTGATGCAAGGAGACTCGACAGGCTTCGGAACACAGACATCCGGGAAACACTCGGGTGTGAATATCTCCGAATTGAGAGATCACAATTACGATGGCACGTGGGCAGGATGCCACAAAAAAAGACTTGCAAGGCAAGTCTTTTTTGCTAAGCCAAAGGGAAAGATACCAAGGGGCAGACCTAGGACTAGGTGGTCAGAATATACTGAAGACCTGGCATAGGAACGTCTTGGAACATACTCAGAAGAACTTGCTGGATTGGCGGAGGACCAGAGCCATTGGAAGACACTCCTGAAGCTACTGCCCCCACAACCCGAAAGGAATAGCGGGCAGTGAAGATGTATGGATGGACTTATAAAGATTCTCCATAATTAACCACCCTTTGGAATTAAAAAAAAAAGAAGGAAATAATGTTTTCCTATTTTCAAAGACATTTCTCGTAGTTTGTTACTTAAACCTGTTGTAATATTACACACAAATTTCACAGGAAAATAACGTTATTTATGCTGCGCAGAAATAGCGTTGGCCCAAGTGTCCATAAGTCGATTGGACATAGTCTCACTAAGCCGCAACGTCTAGGGAAATTCTCCACACTCAATTCCCTATTAAAAAGATCATGTGATTCATTCGCATCAGCAAGCGCACCGGTACGCTTAACCAGCGTTCTTCCCTCTAGTCTAGATAGGCATAGGTCTGACTTGAGTCTTAGACGAAGTCTTCAGGTTTCTCGGTCACGAAGGCCGAAAAGAAACGTAGAAGTCAGTCGAGATAGATGTATGGCTGAGCGTCTCTCCAATGGTTGGATTTAGGCATGTTAACACATTCACTACCATGCACATTTCGGCCATTCAGGCCTAGGCCTCTGCTACATTAGTCTTACGCGCGAAGCCTTCAAGGCTATGACTTCTTCGATCATAGGCAAAGCGAAGGGATGCGTGAAAACGGCACATGCCGTGATTGACAGTGAATGTGTTAAAACTGTTCCCTCAGGGTACGCAACGTCACTGTCGAACTTCCTCTGTAGTGTGTAATAAAACTGCTATTTGTTTTCCCTCCCATTTCCTTGAGGGAACAAACTGTTAGAGAGTGGAATTAGCCTAAGTGTCCATACCTGGGTTAGGCCTAGGCCTACAAAATTAGTTCCTCCCTCCGAAATGTGCTTCCAAAGTTGGACTTTCTCTGGAGTCTGCCTCCTAGAAGCTTTTCCCGTTCTTTCCGTTTTGTCGAAGGAAGTGTGTGCATGAGAGTGGCATGAGCCGAAGCGTTCCTCTTTAGGTTAAGCCTAGACTTGCAAATCAGACCTCCCACCGCAAAAATGTGTCCCCAGGGCACGTACCCTCGAGTTGCAATTTTTTTTGTATCAGCAATCGAATCGAATTCGTGTATCAAGTTTCAGCCTCTTATCATTCTAGAACATGGTTAGAATTAGCGTCAATCAACCATTCGCCATAGTCTGTACAGGGTGTAATTATATGTCGGAAATCATAGGGATTACTGGAACAATATATGCCTTTCTGGGTTCTGCTAGGCAACAGATCCTTGATACCTGATACACCCGGTATAGATTTGATGCATCTCAGTTCATACTTGAGGGTCATGATGACTAAGTTAGCAATGTTTCTTTTTGAAGAACAATTGAACTCACCATATATGAAGATGAATCCTGTCCCACGTGACAGGACTTCTAGGATAGGTCGAAATGTTTCTTCTGCCAGTTCGGAAATCAAATTGTTTTCTAGGTCGAGGACTGTGTCTGCTGCGAGACCTTTCGTGGATCAAGAGAACAAAAGCTTCATTTCATGATAAGTTTGTACATTGTTGAACGCTTGTAGCACCAAACGAATGTCACGTTCGTCGTCGTGAGATAGAACTTATTTAGGGGAAGAACTTATTTCATGACAGTGACTTGTAGTCACGGAAGAGTTGCTGAAAGCTCGTAATCCTCGTAGCGCCTATAAATCTCAGAGCAACTACGTTCTAAAAAAGAAAATACTATAATCTGGGGTAAACAATGCAAAATGGAGGCGAAGCTAGGTTCACAAAATCGGCATCGTGTGACGCGATTCATGGAGACCTAGATAGTATATAAACAAATTTCGCCAATTTGTCTGAAGGTTGATGAGGTTCAGTAAATGCGGAGGAAGGCTGGTAACGCAGAAATCGGAGGTGAGCTCGTTATTTCGGTCTCACGTTGCTATGTCTACATGGGATGTAGGGCACATGTGTTAGCAAGTTCGAACCAATGTTGTTAATTTGTGGGCGAATAAAAGAATATTGAAGGTTGAGTTGAGTAGGAAAGCGTTCAGAGCTAACATCCATACCGAAGTATTCCAATCGCTGGTTTAGGAGTTAAATTTCAGGTAAGAGATTCTTGTGTAACTTTTTTTACACTAGTCAAACAAATGTTTCATAACTTACTAATATATTATGCATGTATTTGTCGAAATTTACGAGCAAGAGTTATTTCTTATTGGTCTATTTCTTGGTGGGATACTTTTATTATATTCTTTTCGATATATGCATCTTAGCGTGATTTGATTACTAGAAATGAACTCATTGACCCAAAATTCCTATGTGACGACATAAAATGCAACGTTGAATTCACAAATGGTTGTCTATCTTTTCTTATCAATGTTGCCACTGCTGGCCTAAAACATGATCGGTTCACAATTAGTTTCATTTATTATTTTTTGTGCGCATCTCAGTGAGGGATATACATTTTTAATGTTGCGTCACTTTTCTAAGGTTTGCTGCTCGCCTCCTTTCATCAACTCTTGGATTGACATGCATGTATATGCCCACCCCAAAGACCACCTTACTTTCTCCACTCCTCATGAGGATGGAAATAAAAGGGAGATATTGTTCATGGATGCGTTCATGGATGAGACTATTAGTCTGTATTATCAGGCATTCGCTCTTGTTCACCCTTGGGTAAGAGTTCGTTCCAAAGCATTGCATCTTTAATTTACCTGTGATAGCGCCAGGTTCAACCATCGTGATGCCGTTGCTGGAAAGACCCACGTATTGGAAGTTCTGGCTTTGGAATTCCAAAGACCCAGAAGGAAGAGTCGGTCCCAGATCACATTCAGAGCAAAGGAAAATTACCAAGTTCTCCAAGCCTTCAAACAATCCGGGAGGGAGCTCCGAGATGGGATTCCCGGCTGGAAAAAAAAGGGAGAGGCTCATCTGTTCAAAATGAACTGAGTCCATGTTTCTCTTTCAATTCCAAGTTTTTCTCTTTTGTTACTCTATTAAGTACGTGGAACTGCTCGTATGCACTTCCACTTTTTCGCGGCTTCGGCATACCTAATTTGCAAATGAATGATTCCACTTAAGGAATACTTTTAATTGGCGGAACTGGAAATCACGAAGAATTTCTCGTACAGGTTTGTTAGTATTTTGGTTTTTAATTAAGTAAAAAGTATTTCAAGAGATTGCTTATGCAGTAATGCATGCGTTATCATTGGACTAATGCGACTAGGTTCAGAGAGGGGATCGCAGAAAATATAACTTTAATCGTTCGACCTTTTCGATTCAGATCGTCTCACCTATGTTTAAGATTTCCAAATTGGGTGCTGACCATCCAGCTTCCACTGTCGATATGTGATTGTCCCAAAGAGCGAGACTTATCAAGGTGGGGCTCTGGAGGCTGGGCAGTGTTGTGAGGGAACAGCCCGTGAAGTCGAAGAACAATAGACTTGTCAACTGCGACAGCACCTCCCACGGAAAGTCTTCCACGGGGACATCGTGAACTTGAATTTGCTGGAGTCTGTCTTTTGATTGCAGCACTACTTCCGGATGAATGGTGCTCAAGTTCCACACGCTTTCTAAGAGTATGTGCTGAATGGAGACATCTCCAAGAACTCCTTCTGGGAGCTCTGTCACCTTTTCATTTATCTGCACACTGAATTGTCTAAGAGGGAAAAGGAAAATATTGAAACCAGTTGCTGCATTTTTACATTGATGTAATCATATTCCTGTTATATTGGAATTCGTATTCAGATATTAAAAACTGGAATGAATGCACACCATGCCCTTTACAATTATATAAGCTGTGCACAATTGAACCTTCTGAAGTAAGCGATACAATACATGATAGGTCGATTTGCAGGGAGGCTTTGAAAAACATGATTCATGCACTTGAAGTGTTTTTGTAGCGTTGCTTCAACTCTCGTCTTGAGTAAAATCTAATCCTTGCATTTTAGAGAAGGCAATTTCGGGGATATGTGCATGCAAGGGGAAAATACGGCTTCAGATACGAGTTGACAAAACTGAAGGTTCCGTTTAAAAATGTATGTATTTCTTCCACGAAGTGGAAGGGCATCAGGAACGATGCTTGAAATGATTTCATCTCTCACACTGAGAAATGAAAAGCATATGCAAAAGAAAAGATTTAACTTTCAGTGGGTCATTCGCGTCCACGAGAGGTGGACGTGACTGTTTGAAATGGCGACGGTCCTCACTCACCTCAGCTCCGGGAACCAGGCGACTTCGTTGAAGGTCGAAAAGATTTCACTCGTTGACGCCGAGGAACAGTCCGCGGAGATGGTGCCATCGAACTCGCTGAAATCACACGTGCAAGGGGATATATCCTCGGGATTAGGGCATGATTGCCCCGAAATACCGGATGTGAATGCAACTAAGAAGCAGGAGAGGGTGAGAAGAATGAACGACAACATTGTCCGGAGAAGGGAGTTGATACTATGTATGGGGGCAGACGACAGAGCTGGAAGTGACAAGTAAATAAATTGCCATGCCCACGAAGCTCCGATATGGTCCGCGTTTTCCCTTATGAGAAAAACCTCATCTGACGGGCTTCGCGAAGGGAATCGCAAGAGATCCGCCTCCAAGATAGTGTTCCCGTGACCTAGCAGCTGTTCAAGGAGCAGCCAAGTTATTCAAAGCCTTCACATATGTTCCAAAATGAACTGGGGTGTATTTAACAAGACAAAGTTGGGAATGTCATGTTAATTTTTTTGAGAGGAAAATTAAATTTTATCAGATATTAAAATTAGAAGGTCTACTTAATTTTCCTTTTAACTTTGACTCTCGTATGAACATTTAATTTCCATGGGCGTGAAAGAGCTTGAATATGACACAACCTTTCCGGGTTAGCTAGAACAAAATTGATGGGCACTAAGTGATGACCAAAGGCTCAGAAATTTGCCCTCTCTCCCCATATTCAAACCGCATTATTTCAAGAAGGATTTGACTAAGGAAGCCGGAAATTAGTGTGGATTAGTTCCTCAAGGAATCCTACAAATCCACAAAACCTTATCAAAATCAGAGGGGATGAGGTCTTCTCTAATGAGGTTTCTCCTCCGTGTTCATTTGACATGGAATGACCCAGATGAGAAACGCTACATGTGGCGCCGTCCGTGGTAGGTGATTGCAAAGTATAAGAGAAGCTTGTCCGAGAGGTGTCCGTCGGCACTGATAAGGATTTCCTTAAAGTATTTATCTCGCTTGAATATATCTCTGATATGGGAAATTTGAGATGTGGTATCCGCACGCATGGATTTTCAGGCTAACGTTTTGTGACTCCACTGCATGGGAAGAATGAGTGTGAGTCCAACATCATGTTGCATCTTTTCCTTATTCAAAGGGAATGGCGAATTCCAACAAATTCGGGATAATTTTTTTTTCTCTTCACTCCTCCCCTTTGGATAGGAGGATCTCCTACGTAAACCTGGGAGGTTTACAGAGGAGATAGTCACCCCAAAAACCGAAATATACAGACGTGTAGAGCCGTAATGCGTGCTTTCTGATGCACCATTTAGACGTACATAATGAAATTCCGCTTTATTTATGCTTATCGAGCAGATTCTAATCCCGTTCTTCGCGGCTGTGGGATATCGTGCTTGATTAATATGTAATTGATGTCTGCTTCTGCTCTAGTATCGATGCCTCGTTGTTTTCATTCTAAGTTATAAGTTGTAAGCAGAGTTCAAGGAATGAGGCGAATTCGAAACTGGGAAGTGGTGGCCGATGGGTGTGGTGCAATATGGACGCATCAGGCATTGACGTATCTTGGGATGAAAGGTATCAGCATTTTTTTCAATTTCGAAAGAAATATTAACAGACATCCGAGTTGAGATGTTGAAAAAAAAACCCTCCAAATTGCTATATTATTGTTTTAACGGCCTTCGTCCTCTTCGAGATGGTGCAGGAAACTCAAGGTATGTTAGGTATATTATAGGCTTAACGTTACTCTTCCCATTGAAGTGTGACGTAAATCCTCCTCCAAATTGCTATATTATTGTTTTAACGGCCTTCGTCCTCTTCGAGATGGTGCAGGAAACTCAAGGTATGTTAGGTATATTATAGGCTTAACGTTACTCTTCCCATTGAAGTGTGACGTAAATCCTGAGATGGATCCACAGTAAGCCCATTATGCCAGAAAAGCAAGCGTTGAAATTGTTTTGAGCGAAAATGGTACGTCTAAGCCTGACCTAGAAACAGTCCGTGGGAAAGGGCCAGGCCTATTTTCTCCACGTCTCTTCTAATTTCTTGTTATTAACTTCTGCCGTGATTTTGAGCCACGAATTAAGGATATGGAAACTGCCACAATGCCTGAAGATGGAGAGGAGCTGAAGATGGGGGAGAGCACTTGAGCAATAGCTTCCACAACATTTCGTCAATAATTTAAGCAACTTCCATTCTGCATTGACAGCAATATTTATTCAAGCTATGCGAAGGCTGTTCAAAGCTTTCCGGGTTTTTTTTCTCATTATTTCTAGCTCAATGAACGTTTCATACTGAGGCAGGAATGTCATGTAACGTGCCTGGAGCTGACCTACATTGCCCTCGTAAATGGTGTGTGGAAAGAACATCGTGAAAAAAACATCGTGAGGAAAAAGCATCGCGAGGCAATTACATCGTACAGGAAAAACATCGCGTAGGGCCCACAAGGCTTGAAGCCTGCGAGTGAAAAGTGAACCGGGTAGCGTAAAAGCCAGTCGGTTCTTTGCTCTCGTTGGGAGCAGACGTGTTTCGTTTCGTTTTTTCAGTCATGTGGATTTCACGCAAATGAATGATAATTTCAGGTAAGTAATTTAATTTAGTTTGAGCTACTGTTTCCTGTAAACAATGTGAAAGCTTAGGCCTACTCGGGCCTGTCTGGGATCAGTGAGGATTTGCTTCCCCTGTTGACTGATTTAAAAATAAAATGAACAAATACGCATTTAATTCACATGGTTCAGTGGCTGTGTATTGAGTCAAGTTCTCAACTAGCAATAACCACACTTTTGCTACCCCGGGTAAGCCAAGGCCCTAGTAGGCCCAAGCCTACACATTGTTTACAGGTTAAGTTAGCCCAAATTAAATTATATTATCTTAAATAAAAATTCACCTGCGTGAAATCCACATGACTGAAGGAACGAGAAATCACTCGTCTGCTCTCAACGAGAGCAAAGAACCGACTAAAATAAAGCTTCTCTTTTTGCTCGCAAGCTTTCAAGCCTAGAGGGCCCCACGCGATGTTTTCACTGTGCGATGTTATCGCCAACGATGTTCTCTTCGGGAGCCCTCGTAAATAGTTGGAAGGAAATATTATTCCCCTTGAATAATTAGAATATGAATTAATGGCCAAATGTTGCTGATGCACCATTTGAGGGGAAAATCTTGGATGGAACCACGCAACTATGGCTTGTAAGTTTTCCTCCGGTAGCAGGTTGGATGATGACAATGCACTTCCTCGTCAATACCTGCTGGAAAGGTAAATAAAACAGGATTTTTATTCGCAAACATAATTTGGAGTTAACGTTACTTGTTATCACATTAGCTCGAATCACATTAGCATGCTTTCTTTTTCATATGAAACTTTGACGAGAGTACCAGTTCGACTTTGCAAAAGCGATTAAAGGTGATATTTTTTGTCATTGTTTTCAGGGTATTGAAGGCAAATGGTTTCAAGCAGAATTTTCATTAGAGCTAGCCATTAATACCGTCGTGGCTGATGGTCACCCTTTGAAGAGAGTTTGCTACCAAGGAAATTGAGTTTCCTTGGAAACGGAGTTAACCATCCCAAGGATATGCTAGTAGATCAAACATATATGAAAGTGATGACTGAAAACATACATCGCCATTGGGACTTAAGTTATTTGGGAAGAATTTGGTACTATTTGTTGCCTACCAACAGCTGAATATTGCTGAAGATTGAATGTTCGACCAATGCAGGGTTCATTGGTGGGAAACTGTAGTCATGTGGCACTAGAACTTCTCGTAGAATAATCTCCTTGCACGGGCAGATTTGTAATGATGTACAGTTCGCGAAGGAATTCGAATATAAGTTTTTAAAAGCAGTTCTATCGGGTCAAACACCTCCTGCGCTCTCGAGTAATTCTATATCCAGGACCAGCCAGGTTAAACTGCAATCAAACCGGATGGGATTGTCTGTAATACAGGATGAAAAATAATGTGGTAAATATTGTTACGTTCTTGACGTGCCCGCGAACACCTTTTCGCTCTTTCGGTGGTGGGAGTCACTACACTGATTTTCTCTGGCTTGTAAAAGACCGGTTTATTATTAGGATCTTTCTTTGTACAACGTTATGACACAAAGGGGACGGAAGCTGATCCTGGCGTCACCGGATCTCTGGGCCGGTGATCCACGTCTTCAGACTGAAATCAGAATAGGGGAGGAAAGGACTCAGGCACAATACTGCAAATGAAAGCTAAAAGGCTCAGTCAAGGAAATCAGGATGGGATGAGGGCGCGCGGAGGAGCAGAGGAACGGAGGCCCGGGAATGTCTAATTCTGCGAGGAAGGAAGGATAGGGTAGGCTTTAGCCCGCAGGCAAGAGCATTGAGTTTAAACTATAATCAGCTTCTCAGCTTTTTCCTTTCGACACTGTGCACTTTTTTTCTTCTATTTTTAAATTATAGGAGCTAAATGCATTTTGGGCCCCGCATGTGGTGGACCAACACATGACTCCCGCCCACCATGATGAGATCCTCCCAACAAGTGCAACGAGTGCAAGACCCTGGTGGAGCTGATGTCGTAGCCATGGGAATGTGTCCCATGGCTAAAGTGCGACGACGTGTCCGGAAACTAGATCCGTCTTCGCGCCTGGATCTCTCCCGTTTTCAGGTTTTAGCCTTTACGTTTTAGATATATCCAAAGACAGAGCGGCCTCATACTGAGAATTAACCTATACTTTAATATTTAATGAGTTGGGGCTAGTTAACTTGAGGTCCACTTGTTCAAGAAGTTAAGAGATTTGTGCCCTAGCAATTACGTGAATTTATTTTAGTGCAGGGGTGTCCTAGGAGGTGACCCGCAGGGCATCACTTTGGGCACCCTTGGTCTAGTGTATTTACAGTTTTTAATTGAAACATAAAGGTTTACATCCTATCGGAAGTGAGTTAGGGGATAGAAGGAAAGATGTTTCCAGGTGCCAGCTGGTCGGAAGGGCCTAATCAAACGCCCTGGTGACATGGGATAGGGTGGGGGGTTATGAGAGGTCTGTGCAGAGCTATTCCTAAGGTTCATGCAAAGGCGAAGTGAAAGATGATGTCTGATTAGGCCGCAAGGTAAGGAGTGGGAGATGATCTGAATTTTTTTTTCTTTTGCTGAGTAAGGGAGAGTGTAAGTGGAGCTCGCTCGGCAGAAAAAAAGCACTGCCGTCGCGAGATGTTGTTTAAGGGCGTTAGAAAGAGGAAGAAGGCAAGGGATCTGCGGGGTGGAAAGGGTCATGTTTTGTCGGTGGTTCAGATGGAGGAGGGGGAAGAGTCGTCAGTGGTATTACTAGCATTTCTGAGGCGTTGCATAATTGTATTACTGGGATAGATCTTAGCGTGTGATAGGGCCTGGATGCCCTTTCTGCTCGGCCAGGATCTTCCTGGCAAGGGGCGAATGCGCTAACTCGGGGTCGCGCGGGCAATCTGCAGTCGTTTTTCTTGCCGTTTGGGGTAAGCGGCCGAGTCTGCATCGTGTGCTCCTTGGCACTGGCTGCATTTAGGATGCAAGCCGTTCAGCTTTGCTTGGCAGGTTTTGTGTGTATGGCCCTTTCCTGAGCAGTACGAGCACACGTCGCGGTCGGCCTTGCATCGTCCTATATAGTGGCCGTACTGCAGGCATTTAAAGCATCGAATGATTCGTGGCTGAATCACGAATTATTCCACACGGAGGCGGAGACAGCCAATTTTAAACGCTCCTTCCTTGAGTATGGTGCGCGCGTTCAGGCAATTTATTGCTTTAACTAGTAGGAGGGGGAAGGGCGCGGCGGTTTTGGTTTTTCGCATCCTAATGATGCCATTCTCAACAAGTGAAATTCCATACATTTTCATTCCAAATTCCACGTGCGAGAACGCCGCGGACTACATGAATGTCTTCGTCCAGGCCGACGCCTTTAACGACAAATTCGAGGACGGGGATGCGCGCACGCGCGGGATAGGCCTCGCCTCCAATGCCTGCCTCTTTCCACCTGCTCGCTACACGGGCGGCGTCCAAGGGTTTGCTAAGCGAAAGGACAAAGCCTGCGCGGGCTTGCTTAAGGTCAAGCAGGGGGCAGTTGGGAAACGCGCACGAGAAGGCGGGAGCAAAGGCGAGTCTTTGCTGGTACTTAGGCGGTAAGGATTGGATGAATAATGGGTTCGCGAAGAAATTGGGATTTCCTGGAGCAGGGTTGGATGAGTTAGTGGGTGTGGGGATTGAGTGCACGGAGGAGTTGCCTAGGGTCATGGGGGGTGTTTTGGAATGGGCAGGTGATAGATGGGGCGCGTTATTGGCTGTGTGAGAGAATGGATGCGGAGGGGAGCGCGAGGGGCTGGCATTTGGTTGGTGAAGGGGGGAAGAAGTTCGCGAGGTGGCAGGGGGCGGTGGAGGTGTGTGAGGGGGTGGGGGGGGGGGCAGGAGAGGCCTGCCGCCTGGAACGAGGTGAGGAGTTGAAGCAAACGGAAGGAGGGGGGGAGAGGTCTTCTTCCGCGTCCTCTTTTTCGGCGGCATGGTGCCGTACGGAAAAAAAAGAGGAAGATGTTACTATAGAGTTAGTATAGAGAGTGCAGATGCAGGAGGATAGGTTTATTGGCGAGAATGCGGGAGAGGAGGGTAAAGCGGAAGGCAATTTAGATACAACGTTGTCCTTAAATAGATAATAAATCAGGTGCAGTTAAGGAGCGAGAGATATGTCTTAACAAAGACAATTCGATGGCTGCCGGAACAAAGGGCCCCGGCAGCTGGGGTGTGGGAAAGGCCTGACCGAATAAAAGCACGGAGAGGCAAGCCAGAGCCTGGGTGTGGACTTTGACGCCTTCACGTTCTTCATTTTTTTTTTTTGCTCAGAATTTTCTTGCGCAAAGCAGAGCAAAGCCTTAAACAAAGCAGAGCGGATTCTGCAGTGACATTACCTGAAATGTGGTGCACCACATGCGTATCAAATTCCGAGTACTCTTCCTTCGAACCCGAAATGCAAATAAGAATATTAGTGGAGGATTTGATTCGGAGTAGGGAGGATATGTAGAGAATGCAATTTTATCCTTATCATAGCTTCGTACGATTGAACTCACCCAAGTACAGATACTTCATGTTGGGCGTGGACAATCCTGCTTCTATTGTTGAGAATATTAAAATGGGCCAGATGCTCGAGGGTGGGGCTTTCCTGGGCCGGAAATGTCATTCGGCTATTAGCAGCGAATGCGAAGCGCGTGAGATGCCTCAACTGGGGCAAAATGTCCCAAAAACGCCTCAACCACGAAGCACAGAGAAATTGAAAGGTTTCGCAATCTTTCTTTCGACTGCAGAATGGTCGACCGATGAACGAAGATTAAATTCTGAGCCCCGAATATGTGAATCAGCTCGAACGAAACATCTCGGAAGACTCCTTCCGGGAGTTCCGACACCGAGCGTTTCCATGTAGTCTATCTGGAATAACCTGCAATGAGAAAAAAGTGCGAATGAGCATTTCCTTAAATATAGTGGCGCAATAGACTTTATGCATCCTGTTTCAGCAGATGTAATTCAGAGTTCCTGAAACCCAAGTAACACATGTCATTCGCTTGAAGAAACGAGACATCCTCCTATAGGGAACTTAAATCCCGCTTCCATAGTCACGTACACCTCCACGCTCATGAAACCGTATGAGAAACCCTTTTCCTTGTCGCCGATCAAGGATATCAAGTAGCATTCCATTTTCCCCCCAAAATCCTCTGATGGGAATTGATCACGCGGTCCTTCTTTAAAAAAAAAAGGCTTTCGTATATGTTTTCATCTGTAACGTAATTTCCCTTTGAGGAAAAATGTGATATCGCCCCTCTTCCTCTAAAAAAACTTAAGGAATTAGTTCTCTAAAGCAGTGCTTCTCAACCTTTTTTTTTCTCAACCTTTGCCGCGGCACAGCGGTTGCGAAGCACTGCTCTAAAGTAAACGGATACTTCATCCATGTCACATTTGGTTACGCCACATGTGTGACCCTCCGTGATATCACCACATGATACCCGGCACCGATACCGCTATGGTACAACTCAAAGACGCGACGCTTCTGCGACCGGTTTGAAAGGCTGGGGACATTTGCGATGTTGATGCTGCTTCACGTCGGGCGAGCGTTTTCCTACTCGCTCTACGGCGTAATCGAGGAAACGGAGGTTGGCATCGAAATCTGCTGAATCCATCGCGCAGTTTTGAAATGATAAAATCACTCTTGATTTCCTCTTATATACGTGGCATCATACAATGCGAAACCTGTTGCTTCCCTAGCAAAAGCAGGAAACATCATCCGAGAATCTTTTGGAGAAAGAGATTCTAGTCAATTGTTAACTCGCCACGTCCGCTCCAAGCCTCTCCCTTTTCTTGCCGTGGCTGGTGATGAGAGTCGAACGAATGGGGAGGGAAAATCCTACTTGAAGTTTGTCCCGGAAAAGAAAAATACCATATACACGAGTATTTCTTCGGACGTCGAAGTTAAATAGGCGGTGTGGATGTGGGCAAGGGAAGTGAGATGTGGAAAAAAAAAGCGGCGTTCCGGGAGATGATATATTTCATCACTTCAGACATGCAATCGTCTGTGTACACTGCAGACATTCCTCCGTTAATTTCACACGGTGTTTAACCATATGCACAAAAGAACTGCACTACAGCACGCTATGCTTCAGCGGACGAATGTTTCACCTCGAACGCCATGTTTGAACTGTACTTTCACGCGCACGCGCGAGTATAGGATGCTACCATTTTCACAAGTTTTTTTATATTTGTCATACCAACACGACAGAATTGGGATTGTTTCTTAAATTGATTGAATTGCGCATAAAATATTATCTAATTGACCTAAAAGAACCCAGAACCAAAAACAGAAAACGAGAGACCTCGAGATTTTTGCCAGAAATTGAAGGTCATGGGAAAGAAAAAAAAAACAAGTCGGGGGGACGGAAGTACACGTTATGGTAGGACGTGCTGTGGCGGCACCGGGGACGAACAGCCGGAGGCAGCGAGAACGGCAAATTAATAGATGACCGAAAAATATTTTCATTCCGGACCCGATGCCGAGAGGCATCGAGGCACTGCCCAGAGGACCTTGAAGGTCTCGCCCTTTTTTCATTTCCTGGACCACGGGATATATAAAGGCCCTGCCGTCTCTCATTCCTTCGTCTCCTCTCTCTGCATCGTTCAGTGCTTCCACGAAGCAGGAACTCGCCAGATTCAGCATGCTCTCCTACGTGAGTTCGCTCTCCTCTCCCTCTCGAAAATTGAGACTTTGGGCATGTTCTTAAATTAAATTGGAATCAATAAGTGTCCCTGATGTGCTTGAGCATGGGCTTGGAAAACTCAAGATAAATTACTGCTAAATATCATGGAAGTAATCTGTTTCATCCAATTTCGGTTGACCATGAAATGAACCTCTTAAAACCTGCTTCACCTTTCTACGATACTTTGACTCCTTTATCGAATGTTCCGCTGCCAAGAAGGGAAAGCAACGAGAGTCACATCTGATAACTGCAAAGGTCGAACCAAAACAACGTTCGAACGGAGTTGAACGGGACCTCTTCCTCATCAGGTCGTGTTGGGCGCCTTGATGGCTGTGGCCACGGCCTCTCCCCCCTTCCTCGCTCCCGGCTACCACGGCTACGGCTACGCAGGCCCCGTCGTGAAGCACGCCATCCACGCCGTCCCTGTCGTCAAGTCCGTCCATGCCGTCTATGCTCCCAGGCACCAACACCACTCTCAGGTGGGTATCGTTCGAGAGCAGCTTCGAAAGAGTTCAGGATTGGGACGTGGAAAGGGCTTATTCACCTCGAAGACCCGTCTTACGAATGGAATAAGCGGTAATTTCGACTCGATAGAGGGGAGAAGGCTTTCCTGCTTTCCGCGACCCAAATCACAAATCTACCTCTAACGAAATATCGGCGTATTGAAAATGTATCAGCATAAAATTTAGCAATATTTTCACATCCTATGTGGTTTAAAAAAAAATTATTCATTCTGCTGCTCATTTAAAAACTAAGATTCCCGGTCTTTTTTTTCAGTGACGCGTGCTAAAAAAAATTTTGGGGGAAATTTACTCATCATTTTTGTTCAGTGTTCTGTGCATTCAAACGTTTCACTTTAAAACTGATCTACCTCGATTGACCTGCCATTCTCAGGACGCATGGGGCAACTACAACTACGGCTACGCAGACATCAACTCTGCCAAGGAGGAGTCCAAGATCGGCAACACGGTCGTCGGCTCTTACAGGTCAGCGTCCAATCTGCTCTCCGCCGTCAGCTTGCGACCCGTTCCGCTTCCTCCTCTCCGTGGGAGTCAATTACACGTACGGATGGGGAGGCTCAAGGTCAATCGAAAAGGGGGAATAATCGGCTCGGTTCCCCGATCTCACGGCCTTCGCGGATGAGGCAGCGTGTGTGTGGCACATTTCGAAATAGCCGGAGCTCCCTCGATTGCTTGAGGGGGGAAGGGGATTCCTTCGAGTCACCTTGATCGAGCGCAGGTGTACGAGGTTTATGTTCCGGGATTTCGTATGGAATTCCTCTCATTTTGGAATCACTTTTTTCACTACTCTGATTTGTGAATGCCTCGTGTAAATCTTCTTTGATGAGATTCCGTGACTGGAATGTACTCTCAGGGAAAATATACGTTATTCAGGCAGTTGATGGCATGCAATTGACCGATAACCGATTTTAATTCATCCGTCAATCCCTCATCGGAGCAGAATTTGTCCGCATAGCTCAATGATGAACGCAATATGCATTTAAGCTGCGTCCATCTGAAGCATGTCACTTTCAACGACTTTACCTTCCCACAAATCTAATGTTCATTTTTGTTTGCAGCCACATCAACGCTGACGGCACCGTCACCAAGAACGACTACGTCGCCGACGAGTTCGGGTTCAGATCCAGCCTGGCTCCCACGGCCGCCAAGGACTTCGCCCCTAAGGTCACCGTCGCCTACGGCCATGGTGCCCCCTACACCCACGCTGCCCCCCTCGCCTACAAGGCAGGTTTTGCCTATGGCGACCCCTGGGCCGTGCCGGCTTACAAGTCCTTCAAGTATGGATTCCACTATTAAATGAGTATCTGTCGTTTTCTTCCCATGCTTCCTCGTCTCGTGTCTCTCTGTCCGCTTCTGTTAGAAAAAAAAGTTGGGATTCCACCAGGCATGAAGTCACATTGACTAGACTGTACAGAAGAAACCCCAAAAATATTCACATTGGGATAAATATGCCAATCGGTTGTTACCTTTCCACGTCTCCACGTGATTTATCCTTTGTTCCGGTCTCGTGTTCCCGTGTCCAGACTCGCTCAATAAAAGTATTGCCGACTGTGTTTTTAGTACATCCCGCCTCATATTTCCTTTCCCACGAGAACGCCAGATCGAAAAGAAAATGATTTTTTCCATTAATACCGTGCCAAATAATTAGCCATTCTGGGAATGGCTGATGGTCCCTGATACGAAATGTGAATCGACGGAATGAAAACCATGGGAATTTGAGAGCGTCTCATCGAGGAAAAGCCTCCCCGGGGACAACGAGCCGGCACGACCTCCTTCCGAGCTCTCAAGGTTCCTTCCTTGACGTCCTAAATATGAACCAAATCGCATTCAAATCTCGTCCTGCACGTGAAAAATGTGTGTCGAGGCAGCAAAACAAACAAGGAGATGATGGCCCAGGGTTTTCACGGTCGGAGAAAGGGGCTTCTTTCAGCGTTTTCCTTCATTTTTGGCCCTTCGTCAGGATCTCAGGGATCAGGCCCGGTCGCTCATCACTGAAGACTGCCGGTGTCGTATCACATTCTTCCCCCCGTAATATGTTTTCCCCCTCCCTAAATGGAAACAAAGGGAGTTCGTTTTCACTCCCTTCGTTTACACGAGACGCTGATAATACGTATATCAGGTCCCCAAAAATATTTTTTCGTTTTTATTAGGTTATCACTTTGAACAAGTTTTATGTGTTTACGCACAGGCGGCACTGGTTTGGCCTATGTACCGTTTGAGTGAGGGTTGTCGCAGCCTCTGGAAATCTTTCCCTCCTTTGAACTTTCGTTTTCAAGACGAATTACGAGCACCTCATATCGTGGCAATTGAAATTGAGAACATTTGTCACTTTTTCTCCGAAGGTTAACTTTAATTTTCCGTGAAAGGGGGTGAAATCATCGCCAGAAGGATTCCTTAAGTGTGTAGGAGTCACACGTGAATCTAATTCGTCTACCAAGGATTCGCGGTTTCCTTTTGCAGACCTATGTAGCCCCGATATTTCGGGTTCTCCCCTCCCTCCGGCTTCCCCCCCCCCCCTCTCCCAACACATGACGTTCTAGAAGTGGCGTCGTGCCTCTCTTTTCTGGAGAGAAAACTTTTATTTTCAAGTACATTCCAGAACCGGCATCCAGGCACAAAGGAGAAACTCTTCTTATATAATAACCTGAAAGTTTCCTCATACCTCCCATGTTCACATGGTTAAACTTAGTTATTATTCTCGATTATCGGTAGGCTGCGAAACAAGTTTCATAAAACGTTGACAGTGGGCATACTTTCCAGGCAAGAGGCATTTGCACCTTTCCCACCGGAATCCCTCAGAGTAAAGCAATAAGGCGTCATTCTTAAAAGCTCCGCTTCAGTTAGTTCGTCGACAGGTTTCCCTACTAATTCACTTCACTTGGCCTCGTTGTCGCTCTAGATCTCAAAGACCTGACACAAAATGAGTGGCTCGATTCCTCATCATGGATTCAAGTCCCCTGCTAAAAAAAATAGCAAACAAGAAATGCCGCAAGCGACTCCAGTGCACACTCTCCGCGGCCCAAACGCGACATCACAATATTTTCTTTTCTCGTAAGGGGCAGGTGGCAAGTTATATTCTATCTCTGAAATATGAGATAAGTTCAATAAATAACGAGAAATTGCACATAAGCATAAAAAATCATCACAATTTATGTTTTCCTGGCACATCTTAACTTACTGAACAAAATGTAAATATTACAATCTTAGGTACAGAATGTGTCTACGAGTCCAGACAGTCACTGTTTCTTGAGAATTAAGTCCCTCTTTGCCTGAATGTAGATCAGGTGCTGCAAAGACTACTTGAGAGCTAGCCAGATACTTTGTAGGAAACGGAAATCCTTACGTCTTCTTCTCCAACTATTAATCATCTCCCGCTGAGATAAAGCAAGACTAAGGAATATATTCGTTGTTGAGGGGATCATTGGGCTTCATATAAACGGATTATTTGTAAAAAGTTATCATTTATGATAAGGAGGCCCTCCCTCCCGTCACATTTAGGGACTACGGTACGGCGTTGAAGGCCGAGATCCCATTAGTCAATGAATGGGAACAGTTTACAGAGATGTACGAGATGTCCCATAAGTAAAAAAAAATCACTTACTTTAAGCCGTTGGTACATATAAGAAGCAACTCATGCATTTCATATGGAATTAACTCTGTTAAAGAGGAGGAACTTTTCGAGTTTTCAAAGTGCCACAAAAGTTCTCCACCTATATATACATTTCTTATTCGGTTTCGGCACCGAAAATCGCGGAAAGGCCCTCTGAAATCTGAGGTGATTGTGAAAATTCACCATCCATGTGGCAACTTTTCCTAGTTGCTCCAGGATCTATTGCCAAGCCAATTCACATGACAGCAAAAGCAAGTTAAATCAACTCTATTTTTATGTTTCAATGTCTACCTGAAATTTAAATGGAAGAAAAACACTTATATTATAAATTTTATGAATGGGGCTTCAAAAAAGCATACCGAAAATAGAAGCCTTCCTCCTCTTCTTTCTAACATACATTTGAGGCAGTTTCCGTTTGAATCTGATACGAAGTTATCATCGTGAAAGGTTCCAATAGACAGCCTATTTATATCAATACTAATAGTATCGACCTGCACATAGTATTTTTTTAATAGAAATTTTGCAATTTGAAATGGTCTGACTTTCTGGACATCCTTTATTACTGATGTGCATGCCCGTTGAGGCAGAGACAAATATCCTTCGGATCCAGATAAAGGAACTGCCCGGATGTTGAAAGGTAAAGGAAATGAAGAACGAAAAGGGACAGAAACATCCACATGATAGCAGTGAATGGTGCTTTAACCCATTCTTATCCGCAAGCGTACTGCTGCTCATCATTTTATGCCTTCCCGCTTAGCCTATAGCCTAAAAAGCCACAGGCTTATAGGCCTCACGCGTCATAGTAAGCCAGTAGATTTCTAAATGAGATAGGCCAAAGACTTCCTGGATGTAAATGAGCGTGTTCCTGGTGAGGGAGTCAATTTTGGACGGAAAGTGCATGTTCCAGGCCCTTTTTGCCGTCGTTGTTGTTCAACCTGATGGGCACTGCTGCGGTGAAAATCTCTGCAGTCGAATTTCAGGTCCTACGAATTTCTCACGCGAATGTTTTTTTTTTCGAGCTTCTGCACCGATGTCCATCACTTTCAGCTTCTTCCATATGCCATTTGAAAAGCAACGGGCTGGAATTAAAGTTGGTTTTTGTGGTTCGTTAGCCTATTCACTGCACTTGGTGAAGCTTCGTGGATCACCTGTTTGTCTTCGCTGTGGCAATAGATGGCGCACGTTTCAACAATGTGTGCCATGCTTGTATGTCCTGACGGTCGCAATGGGGAGAGTCCTTCATCTGTCATTTATGAAGTAGATAAGCATACCTGCCGTGTATTGTGCTGACTTGGTTGAGTGGGGTCTACTGTTGTCGTCACTTGATGCAGATGCACAATGCAAGTTGAAATATTGTTAAGACCTTTCTCTCTTCAAAATTAAGCCGATGTTGATTCTATGTGGCAATCGATGTTACTAACTGTTTATTCAATATGGTGGTTGTTGAAACTTCAATTCTTTTCAACCTTGCATTAATATTGCTGTATAGACTGAGTCCTTGAACGACAACATGGCGCTTTGTTTCCACTGGTTTATAGCAGATTTACCTACCACTAGTTACGATCAGTGATCACGCGAGAAATTGTGAGTAATGACAGACTAAAAACAATTGCTCTCCTCATCGACGCATATTTGTCTTCAGAGCAACTCAAGAATATCACCTAGTTGCGTTTTACTGAGATGTATTGCCTTAATGCTTCACCGTGAAATTCAAAGCCCAAAAAACTCCAGAAAGTAGTCTATGGACTGTATGTGCGATGTACGAGTGTATGTGTGGATTCGGCGCAAGCTAGTGCATGATTGAGCTTGCGAGCACAGTGAAATTGAAGAAGATTACACGTATTTTAAATTGAATTCGTATATTTCACGTAAAGTCGTCAGATTTCGTCTGCATGTTGTTTCGTTCATTTTTACTTGTCAGAATTCCAGCATAACTTCATTGATCCATTGGGTGAACCTAATGGGGGGTGAACAAAAAAAGCTTCGGGTACCCATCATGTCTCATCAGAAGAAGGACCCGAATATGGGTGACAAAAGTGTGAGGAATCGACCAGTTCTCACCTGTTAACCTTGGTGAAAACGGCATACTGCCCAGGACGCCTCATAGAACACGTCTGTCCTCTCCTCTGAAAGATGTGACTAACGATTCCTTCCACCGTCCAGTAGCTGTCCAGTGAGACATTGGAGAGGAAGACCATAGGACTTCCCTCATTCCCGGGACACACAGTTCGATAATCTGTATCGTAACACACGTCAGCATCATGTTATCCCGTTCATCCATCATTAATATAATGTCACAAGGAAATATAAATGGAATTATGAAATGAAAAAAACTGAACATAATCCAGGGAACATTATGAACTTCTCTTCACATTATCTCTTCGGTTTTCTCTAGCAAGCAGCCTCAATACAAAAATTAAACATTGATATCTTGGGATGCATAAATATCGAACAGAATAAGCCTCAGAACTTTGGTCTACATTCAGTTCTAAACCTGACTTCGACGACTTCTATGCCAAACTCAACAAAGAATCTCCCCGTATGAACCTCTATGCTCTTGCTTGAATTTGCTTTCATTATTTTTATTTATATCGTCCTTGAATACATGCCCACTAGACACGATATTGTCTCAGGACGAGTTTATGCAAAAAATGGAAACTTGATCTGTTCACGGCTCTGGAGACTTTACGTACCTTTAAGAGGAGTGCCCATAGAATGACCAGCGCAGAACATATTTGAAGTGAGGGTACGAACAGCGGTGAGGTTCCCCGTCAGGTTAATGGTGTCCTGACGACATAAGCGATTAGATAATACCGGGAGTTGAACCTCCGTCAGGACAGTTGTGAGGATATCGGAGCCGTCATGACCCCAACCAGCCACCTGCATCATTGTAGAATTGAAAAAGAAATCATGCCACAGGAACTGTTGACAAACTTGTTAATACAAGTATGGAGATATTTCACGTGTTACCCATCCTTGCATTCCGTTCTCGAGATTTTCTTCAGAGATATCAAGTCGGGTCGGGAGACATACCAACTGAACTCGTGCAGTCAGCAGGGCAGGCTCAGTTAATTTCAATAGAGCTATATCCGAGTCATAGTAATCAATTTTGAAGTCCTTTTGCAGAATTATGTGCGACACCTGAAAAAATGTAGAAATTTTTATAATGATGAATCGAATGGATGAGAGTACGAGAATGTATTGCTAACTGAACTCGTCTGATCTGCACGTATTCATCGTCCTTGACATTAGCTCGATAGTGTTTCCCAAGGTAAACCGAAATGTCTACAGCGTCCCGAGCTTTGAAGGAACCAGCCATAACGACACAATGGGCCGCTGTCAGAACCCATTGTTCCTGAATGAGTGCCCCTCCACAAATAACATCTTCCTTCTGGGCATCGTAAATAGCCACTTGCCAAGGCCACTCTCCCATGTCTGATGGCTTTCCTCCTGTTGATAACGTAACTTGATATTCCTTTCTCCCGCATACTAGATAAATAATAATACAAATATAAGCAAATATACGTGGAAAGAGCAGAGACGTGTCGGGTAAAGAGAAAAATGATGGCAAAAGATACCGACCTGGCTCACACAAAGGTTCGCGTCCTGTCCATTTTCCATCCTGTTTACATATTCTGTTTTTCGGTCCATTCAGTTCAAAGTATTTCTCGCATTTGTATCTAACAACGCTCCTAATTGCATATTTGCCATCTTGAATGCAATCTGCACCGTTTCTTTCGCTAATCCTTTCGGAAGCGGTTGGACAAGATTCGATCGTGAGAGATCCATGCGTAGGGCTGCTTAATTGTCCGCATCCGGTCGTATTACCTGTTGCCGGAAGAATCAACCAGAAATGCTGTCATGACCAAATCCACAAAGGATGAATATGCAGAATGAAACTAGGAAAACATCTATACTTTTGCCTGCTCTTCCTTAATTCGTTAGTTAATTGCAGCATATTGGTTTTCCCCTTGGGTGTGTCATGTGGATTCCGTTACAAGTGAAATAACTGGTAACTTAACATATTTTCTAATTTTGTTGAGGAGTGGTATCACTTTCAATATTACGTACCAATTGAGACAGCTGGAACTGGTGCAGGTGTTACTGTTGTGGTTTTGGGGACATTTGGCTGGCAGCAGAGTTCCCCGGATTGGCAGTTACCTACATGGGATACAGTGACTGTCCCCGGCGTGCAGAGAGACAACCAGAGGCTCTTAATGCACCGGTACCGGCATTCTCGAGGGCAGTCTCTCATGGAATTTGAATCTAAGTCTTTGAATTCCGTTCCATTATGGCACTTTCCAGGAATTTTCCTTTGAAATTTCCGACCGAGAAGTAGCCATGCTACTTCACAATCACACAGGATGGGATTTCCTGGAATAAAACCACGAAATATATGACAATTAGGCGAGATGAAGGAAGCTTGCCAGATATTTGACAGGTTGTGTAATGAGAAGAAACCGTAAAACTCACCACTCAGATCTATGACACCATCCCCCAAATAGAGGATGTCCAGCATCGGGCGAAAGCTCTCCTCGGACAATACAGCGATCTTATTTTCACTCAGATCAACCCTCGTATTACTTCCGAGGCCTAGAATGCAAATTAATAGAGCTGGCGATAAAATAGCTTTAAACTTCTTTACTTCTTTCGAGCATGCTACAGAGGTGGTGGCTTCTAGCTGACGCATGGAGACATAAGAAACTATTTAGAAACACGATGAACATTATTGGATTTTCGAATATCTGGAAGACATGGTCAAATGCGCTCTACCAGTCGCATAAGTTCAAATTTCTCTTCAGTCGCCTCATTTGTTGACAAGTCATAGGTGATGCTCTTTATCATTTCCCCTGGTGCTATTGCTTACGTATTCCTCAGTGGAAGAAATTCAAAGTATAGTGAATTTTAACGCTTTGATGAGGAACTCCAGTGCAATAAAAATCTGTCCGCTTGGGTTTAGGCCTACCTTGGTTTAGTCTTGGAAGAGCTGCATAATAAACCTTGTGAAGTGAATCTCCATGGCATTATTTCTGGTGATGATGCGAGTGTTTTCAATAACCTACGTCCATCGATTATGACCACAGATCATACCAATGATGGCTCCTGGCTCCAGGCTGGTGACGTTGTTCTCTGAAAGGTGTACCAGTTTCAACGCGCTGCTCTGGAATTCCAGGAGACCGCCCGAAAGGGTGGGACCCAAATTGCACCTTGAACAGTAGAACTCCTCCAGCTTCTTCATGCACTTAATTATTGTAGACGGGAACTTCATCAAGGGATTGTTATCTGAAAGGATTGCAAAAAGAGATGAGTGAGATTGGACGAAATTGGACCAGCATCGTAATACTTGTTAGTCTCACTCGACCATTCTCTATCAAGTTTTGAGCGCGGAGGATTTTTTTCATCTTCAATAGTAATTGTTGAGCGTACTCGCTGATTCGGTTGCATCCCGACGCATACAAATATTGATGCTGGCAAAAATATTTCAACTCGTATGCTTGCAGTTTTCAGGCTCCTCTCTGCTCCCCTTTCGAACTCATTTTCGAAGTTTTTTCTGCCCCTTCACTGATCTCAAACGTGGCGTTAACAGGGTTTGTGTAAATTAGATGCATCCCATACTGGCCGATTTTTCGTTCCAACAACCAGTACGGGGATAAAAGACGAACATGAGGAAAACTAGTGATATCTCCTTTATTTACTCGATATGCCACGTAATGTAACGGATCCTATCCAAATTGGAGTTATCTCATCAAGTTATCGAGTGAGAATATCTTTCGCTTACTAAGAAGTCGGAGCGACACAAGAGAACTTGCCGTTCGATGTCGGAAGTCTCATTAACTTCAAGACGGACAACGGTTTCGCTCGAGAAACGTTCTGCTGAAAGGTTTTATGCTGCAGAGAAGTTGAACAACTCTCATCTGAAAAATTGCATTCGGAAACGAGCGGTTGCTGCAAATCTTTAATACCTCGCATCCCTTATTAATCTAGGATGCGGCGAAAAATGTATCTCTGGAAACAGAGCATTCCAATAAACGGGCACCGTCACCACCACCACATCTCACAAAGCAAGATATCCAATGCTCACCGATGTCGAATTCCCTCAAATTAGGAGTCGCCCATCCGTCTGCCTCCACACTCGTGATCTCATTGTTATATAGGTAGAGTCACCGTCACCACCACCACATCTCACAAAGCAAGATATCCAATGCTCACCGATGTCGAATTCCCTCAAATTAGGAGTCGCCCATCCGTCTGCCTCCACACTCGTGATCTCATTGTTATATAGGTAGAGTATCTCTAGGTTGTCGCTCTTGAAAGCCCGGACAGTGGTCAACAAATTTCGTTCGAGGTAGAGTTCGCGCAATTTGGGAGTTTCCCATCCGTCCAATTCTGCAATAGTGATTTTGTTATTATCGAGACGGAGTCTCTCCAAGTTGTCGCTCTTGAAGGCCGGGACTAAGGCCAACAAATTGTTGCTGAGATGTAGTTGTTTCAAAAATTGGAATTCATGAAGAATATCAAAGGGAAAGTCATCCAGGCGACTATCGAGAATGAAGAGTTCCGTGAGCAAGTGCTTCGAAGGGAGTATGGCTGATGGGTGCACATTATTCATTGCAGTTCGTTCTATCGTGATCTTCCGGAAGGAAAGATCCCCGAATTCCTCGGGGAGTTCCACCACATCTGTATTGTCTTCAATAACGAATAACCTACAGGGAGAAAAAAGAATATGGATTAATATGACATTCTCATCTATTTGGAGACTAGTCGGAAGGAAAGATCCCCGAATTCCTCGGGGAGTTCCACCACATCTGTATTGTCTTCAATAACGAATAACCTACAGGGAGAAAAAAGAATATGGATTAATATGACATTCTCATCTATTTGGAGACTAGAATTCTTAACTCATGCACGATCCGAATTATTCATGGAATTTCTCTGAATAGAGCTACGAATTCGGATTTTCTGGAACCAATTAAATCAGCAGCTTAATATGCAAATCCATAAATATTCAACAATTTAAATTCTCCATTGTAAATCTTAATGGATGGATTCTACAGGAAGGCCGCATGCGGAGGGGACAAGACGGCCTCTATAAAGACCCATTTGCGGATGCAGAGGTTTGGGCATAAACGGGAAATCTCTTGGCGGAGCTCCAAAGCGTCTTAGTGATTAGAGCAATTTTGTTGATAGCGAGAATTCCATTGAATTGCATAGAAATAGAAAGAAGAAAAAGAAAGAAATGAAGTAATATTTTTAAATGACCAAATTCTTCCAACCAATAAGGACGAAAACAAAGTTTTCAATTTCGGGATCACAATAGAATCACTTATTAGAGAAATGTCATCTCCTGCTTCGATGCACTGTTTAGGTCTCTTTGGAGAGTTGTGAACGAATTTGCTCACCGTCTCCAAAGTTAAACTAACGCGCTGATTGTTCCTTATTTCCAATGATTGTTGTTTTTGATTGAACAGAGGTAATAAAATGAACAGTTTAGTCAATTTTCGAGATAATGTCATTCGAATTTGCTCACCGTCTCCAAAGTTAAACTAACGCGCTGATTGTTCCTTATTTCCAATGATTGTTGTTTTTGATTGAACAGAGGTAATAAAATGAACAGTTTAGTCAATTTTCGAGATAATGTCATGAAATGATTTGAATTCAGTTCAGGTCGAACTGATCCACCTAATATTTTAAGGCATGTATCATGACTACTTGAACTCTTTTTATTCAATTTATAGTCGGTTTTGTCTCCTGGTTGCCGAGAAACTCACAAATATGTAATCATGTTCTCTTTTCTGGGCACCCTGTACATGTTGTACAGTTTTCAGTGCATGTTTTTATTCGCAAGGGGTCCTGCCAAGTATCATGCTACCTGCTTATGTGCTGTTATCCTATTGCAGCTTCTAATTTAAGAGCGTCGCTCTCATCTGGAGGTCCTCATCGACTGATTACAAGGAACATCGTGCTTCTCTTCTGGAATGTGAAGAACATCAAATTTAGCTCAGAATTATACATGTGTATGATATATGGCGCTGTTATGCGACATAATTACACCGATGAGAAAGGAACATCCTTTTTTCGGATTAGCCAGTGGTATCCGATTCCTTGCGGTCCATCAACCTCGCCGTTACTTTTAATAAAGGAACGAGAACGTCGTTGTGGATGAAGCTAGGGACCAAGCTGTCGCCTTAATGCAAATCATGTCTCGGTGATAAATGTCGGGTGCGAAGCGAGTCGAGAAAGTTAACGAGGATTCCTACTCACCAGAGTTGAGTGGAGGGCCATGAGGCATTCGTCAGTACGGAGGAAATCTGAGCTCCTGAGCTGGCATTCGAACAATCCACCGTCACATCGCCATCCGAATCTTTGGTGCACTTACAGGGTGATATATCTTGGATGGGGCATGTTTGCTCCGTTATCCCAAACACAAAGGAAGGAAAGAAAAGGAGGAAGACGGTTAATAATGGATTCATTTTAGGATTGCCGATCAGAGGACGGCTGGAGGCAGTTTCTGGTGTTGCGCTTCCTATGAGGCCTTTCTTCTTCGGTGATGGAAGTTGACCCACGTGAGTGCGACAAGTAGTATTTCTGCAGGGAAGGTAGAATATTTATACACGTTCAGGAGCAGATCAGAAGGGAGGTGACCATGCATGAGCTTTACAGTCTGTTATGTTAATGTGAACTATGTTAACTCGTTTTTCTTCATTTAAAAATTCATCCATGTATAATAATATCAGGATTTCCGAATGGACGAAAATATCGTACTTGCACAAAGCTGCGAACCATACATCAATTAAGTGATTATTTACTGAACAGCGATTTTATTGTAATGAACTTATTTCAAAATTATATCAATAGAGGTCTCGAAAGTAATGCTACTCTCATTTCACGGGCCTCTGAATGAAAGATAGTACCATGCGAAACCGCCATCATGACATCCGACTGAAATGCATGACATTCGTTTTTAATTCTCACCTCCGCATGATGGGTTTGCTTAGAGGTGCCAATTTGCGTATTTGGTATTAATGTCCTGGGTTACGCTAATTCCAAATGTATTGATACCTTCTTGAAATGTTTCTTGCTTCGCACTCACTTGAGAAAAGGAAAAAAAAGAGGTGAATTTTTATTTAAATCCAAAAATGGGCTTATTTGCAAATAAGCAAATCGATGTAAGAAGAGAGCAAATTTAAGTTCATTTTTAAGAAATTAAATATATAACTAAACGTATTGTCCATGAACATATGCTCGTTAAGAGGAAGTTCCAGGTGTTATTGAACGGGAGGCAAAAGGCCTATGGAATAATATTTTCAGGAAAGCAAATGGTTTAGCACTTAAGAAGTTTCCCCATCAGAAATTCTCTCTTGGAATTTTCCCCCTCGTGCAATACCTTTATTAACACAGACATAACGTTCCGCAACGGGAAAAAAATGTTTCGGGAGAAACATAGGCAACAAAAAATGCTCCAAGGAAGTATATACTAAAAATTGGGTTTTCCTTGACCTCAGCACTCCACCAACTACTCGTATACCGGAGTTTCAGGTTTCTATCGTATATAGAACATACTAAGTATTGGAGGCAATCAAATCTTAACGGTTATCTTCAATAATAAACTTTGATGATCGTGGTGCCTTCTCCATTCCGACTTCTTTATATCATTTACCAAGGTTTTAAAATTTCTGACAGTTGTGAAATATTAGGCAGTACCTGCTGAACATGGCGTTCTGGGGTTCAAGACGTTGAGTTTCTGATACGTGAATGGCCATCATATTTACTCTACTAATATCGTGGAGCACCTATGGCACGAGTGTTAGTATGTTGTACTAGTATGTATAAAATGGTTACCTTTCAAAGAGGCACAGCATTTCTCCACTGCATTAATGAAGTAGAAGCAGCCACTGTTCCAGATTGGTGAGAATTAGCCATGAATTAGCTTGCACCTCACAAGCCCCGCATCACCACCTAGTAAGAACCTAGGGAGACAGCGTTCCTCGCAAGACTCGACTCTCGACTCTTCCTGGGTATGCGAGGCAGCTCTCTTCTCCTAAGCTCGTTTGTCCGGTCTCATTTAGGCGGTCCGAGCGCGTGACTTAAATAATCAAATAGGAAGACGGTCACATAATCTGAATCTCCCGAAGGTCGCCTGGATGGAACTGTCGGGCTCATTACGGACAGACGTGACACCTGAAAGGTAATTGAATATGTACAATGCTGAGAAAAAAAAAAAAAACAAAACAAACGGGTCTACATCTAATGAAAATGGACATGACTCGGCACGATAATACTCGACCGTATACAGCGAACGTCATTGCGGAGGCTATAGGAAAAAAAATGAAATGGACTTTCATCATATATAAGGGGCGTTCAACTGAAAACGAGTCAATCAACGTAGCTCGGTGGTTACATGATTTCGCACATGCGTGTTGGTTGACATAGGACACGGCGTATAAATAGAGCACCGTGAGCGGCAAACCATGTACTTATCAACGGTCCGTGTGGTACATGAGGTGGAAAGTGTACCTTGCCTATGTCATGCAAGTGTACAAGGAGGAGCAACGTGGAGTGATACGCTTTTTGACCGCAGAAGGTGTTTGTGCAAAAGCTATGCATCTTCGAATGCGGGCGATATATGGACAGTACAGTTTGTCCTTGGCCCGCGTAAAGCATTGGTGTAAACGGTTCCGAGAGGGCGACCACAAGGGCTTTGACCACGTGGAGTTCTTGGAGCATTGTGCAGCCGTTAATGCCTTGCGGTATTGCGACACCGTATCGGCATTACGACGCAACATCAAACCCATACGTCCGGGAAAATTGTCACAGGGCATAACCCTACTCCATGACAATGCTCGCCCACATAGAGCCAACACTACGAAGGATCCATTGAACCGGTTTGGCTGGGCGACGATGGAGCACCCTGCATACAGCCCCGATCTGTCGCCCTGCGACTTCCACATCTTTGGTGACCTCTAAAAGGCGCTAAAAGGTCGACACTTCGCAACCGACGATGACGTCAAAAGTGCTGTCACAGAGTGATTTAGGAAACAACCCAACGAACGTGCCATCATGAGGCTTGTTTCACAGTGGGACAGGTGATTGAACAACGGCGGGGATTACGTCTGAGATAGAACGCACATTTCCTTTACAGTTGACTGTTGGCTCGTTTTCAGTTGAACGCCCCTAATATATATATCGTCCACTTGATTTAGCTGCATCAGACTATTTGCCCTTGCCAACGCTACTTTTCTCTGCCATCATTCAATCCAGTCTAAAATATTAAATAAGCAGCGACCGTGTGAGTTTGAGACTCCATAGTATTAATAGATCATTCCAAGAAGGGATGTTCTAGCTCTAAAGGCGATACACCGGTAAGACTTACCGTAGTGGACAGCAATAACTATGTTGAATAATCAGACAAATTTTATTCAATAACCACGTCAAGCGGTATTGCATTACATGGTGAAGGTTTGAAATGAAAATATAGTGCATTTACTTTTGGTGCACCCTCGTGGGAAGAAAACGGCACCACATGTGCTAACTCTATATCTGCATTGTGGGAATCTTGTGTTATCGATTTTCTTCTTGGTTTGGTATGTTACCAGGTAGACATTTGATAGTGCTCCAATTCCGTGAGGAAAATGTTCCTTGTCCAGACGGAGTCGATTTGCAAAATGTTAACATTACGCGTTGCGGAATAGAGCGCATGAAACTTGAGTCAGCTGTACACGGCAACACAATATATCAAAAAAGGAAAATGCCTTTAAAAAAAATATATATGTGCATTGGTTCCCTTCAATGATTCTGATCAACTTCATCTGGTTTCCTTGACAGTGATAAAATTATTTCGAAAGGTCAAGAGTGATGGATCAGAGTCAAATACATATATGCCTCGTGTAATCAGACCGTTCTGCGGTGTTTGTAACACCTTTGCATTAGTTACTAGACGGTCAGAGTGGAAAAGGGAAAATAAATTACTGAATTAAACATGCAGCAAATGGAAAAGAGCATTTTCATTTCATGGAACGATGACCATTTATTTCAGTTTAATGATCTGTGTCCAATACTCGATTCGGTGACTGCCGAATATCTAAATGGAAATGAAAAAAGGAAAAGAACCCCCATTACGTTTTCTCCACGATGATTATATAACTAGCCGACCCGTGGAAAACTTCCACGAACTCTTAGGCAAGAACACCCGGGTTCACTCGCGGCCCTAGAACTCAGTGACCCTCTCATCGCTATAGGCAACGATGAGAGGGTCCCCCACAAACAACCCTCAGAGTCCCTTTTCATCCCGCTGAAGGAAAGAAGAATTCCTCTCTTGTGTGAGATCATCGCCCTCACAATTACCGGAATTCCAACCCCTTCATTCATTGAAGCAGCTCTCGATACGTTTCCATTCGATCGAGCTTTTATTTAGTCCCCAACAGGCGAGGCATCCATCAGGCTTCGTCATACCAATGTGTTCATGGAGAATCTGATGAACCTTGCCGGTGCTGACCCCCGAGGTAGTATCAAGCTCGCAGAGGGTAATTATTCGATCTTTCAAAATAATTTTTCTGAAGCGTAAATTTGTTCATCGGTGGTAGCCGTTCGAGAGCGACCGCTGCGATGGTCGTCTTCTAAGGTCTGGCGACCATCCTTAAACCGCTCCAGCCATCGATAAACCGTACTCTTCGATTATGCAGATTCTCCGAAGTCAGCCTGCAGCCTTTGAACAATCTTAGAACCGTGTGCACCAACCCTCCACAAAATGAGTATAATCGCTAGCCGAGCTTTCACCCCGTCTTTCATGGCTTCGAAAAATACATACAAGTAGGTAGCTCGTACAAAAACACGGATGTACAGTTGTTAAGGGCGCAGAATGCGCATATGGCCGTGGGAGGCGGTCCCCACACTCCCGTTCCCCTGCCCAATGGCTGACCATGTGAGAAGACAGGACGCGGCAAAAGCACCCCTAATATCTGATCCCGCTGCGCACGTTTCCGAACGTTAATGGCATCATGCCACGTTGCGTGTACCTCTTACTATGGTTATGGAAGAGCCACTGAGCTAAGGAATAACAGGAGATGGACACCCGTAGGAATAATATAGGCATGCGTGCTGCAATTGAAAGTCATACTTTTTGAGCTCATGGCCTCCGTCACCATTCACTTCTATTGGATTTCCCCTGATTTTTCAACCCAACATTCATCTAAATACGAACTCTTAGGAAAACAGCTCCTACACAGCAGGCACAATATGTTCTCAAAACCAGTAAGCCCTATCGAGTCGTTCCAATACTTCTTTTTATCATGAATATGGGATTAATACTTCAGTTATGGCTAATGGCAGGAAAGAGTGATTGAGCATTGGTCAGCAAAATGCCGCGATTCACATGCGAAGTGATTCATAGAGTTTAAAGCGGCCTGCGGTGCGCATTGGCAAGGAAAAGGAGCAGGTATCAGGAGAATATTAGAGCAGCCCGTCTGAATACGGAAGCATGTCCTGCCAAGACCCACCTCTACCAGGCAACTCGTGGTCTCCCTTCGTCTTCTTTAAATTTTGTCTGCCTTTGAACGTTGCCTTCGTCAAACGAACTTCTGGATTTAATTCCGGTCCCCACCGTTTTTTTCTTTTCGTCTTCTTTTGTCATCCAATCTCTTTCCCCATCCCCCAGGTTATGTCCTTCTCGAGAAAGATCCAACAGTCGCAACGGCTGGAAAACAGCCGTTGCAACGGCATGTGCGCTTTGCGCGATCGCGTGTGCCCCCCCCTCCCGGAATCTTCTGCCTGCCTCTGGGTGAACGTCTCCCTCTCTTGGACTCGCATATTTTTTCTCGAGGTGACACTTTCTGATATGGTAGGAATTGCGCTTGGATCTGGACAGATCTAATCTACTCCCACCAAAACCTATCTATCTCACTCCTCCCAGGATCTTCAGTCAAATGAAATATTCCGGAAGGTTTACGAGTATCGATTAACTTCTTTTTCTTGTGAAGTGTTTCGTTTCATCCTCATCCTTATAGCTTCCCTTTTCAGTTCTGCTGCTGCCAGAGGTGAAGGGAAAAAAATCCAAGGAATGCTCTCAAAGCCTCTTGGGAAACCACATTCGCTCTATTGCTTTTGCTGGAGTAATGAAAAAATATTTTTTTAAAGGCTCCTTTCCATCAATAAATTCGCATTCCGTCACATTAGATGTTTACGATACTTGTAATAACCCTGTACCACATGTTCCGTCACACGAAGGATTTCTCGGTGCAATATGTCGCAATTCTCTAGCAGGAATGCCGTCAGCTGGGAATATTCTCATTGAGGAAAATAGCAGCTCGAGGTGACATAAGGGACTTCGATGTCGTACGTTGGTGCTTCATAGTCACTTCCAGCCTCTTTTCGTCCCGATCGCAGGTGCTGAGCCACTTCGAAAACGATGGGATTCTGGATCTTCTTCATTTCCTCTCTCTTTCTCACCTTAATTCCATGGACGTCTGGGCAGTCCCTTTGTCCCGATCCCGTGGATATTTCCCCCTGCACCTGCGTGTACGACAATTCATCCCGTATCACCGTCGACTGTTCCTTGGCGTCAACGAGTGAAATGTACTCGGTCTTCAATGATGTCGTCTGGCCCCAAAGCATCTGGTGTGTCTGGTCTTTTCTCCATTAGTGGAATTCCTGTTCTATCAAACTGGATTACTTAGTTGATTTTAACTCCTCTTGATGAATACAAATTTCGCTTTCCCACGAGAAGGATATGTTTCATGTGAGACAGTGAAGCATCCGTCATGTAAGCAGCACATTATCATCCTCTGATGATTGACCTTTCAGACCTGGCTTTCATTCCAATGGATATTGCATTTACATTGTATCTATGGCTGTTTCTTAGGATTCTCGTGACTTTGCACTCCATATTACACTACAATGGGCGCAATTATGCATGGCTCAGTTCTGTCAGAGGCCTTCTTTCTCCCATTAGATTTGTAATCTTCAGTTACTTAAATAAATGTTTAATATATAATTTATGGTATGATATGGTAAATGTATATCAAATATGAAAACGTAATATAAAACGTGGAAATCTCAATTAGAATGACGAAAAAGCTCAAAAATGCAAAAGTATATTATTCCGATTGTGGCATTAATTCAGATCTGAAAGGGTTAAAGGAGAATAAGGCAAAAATACAATTTCCGGGAAAGTATCTTTCGACCATACGGTAGAAGAAAGGGTTGAAACATTTTGTTAGACTTTTTACGATAGAGGTCTCAAGTCTCTAGAGAAACATAAAATTTCCTTCGATCGTCAGTCCTCAGTTTGGAGAATGAAAGGAACTCCTTCTCTCCTAAAAAAAAAAGAATTTAAAAAAGTTCGTATTCACCACTTTTCAAGATCATTCACTAGTCAGCGATACGACTTGACAGAGATGTATACAAATTTTCATTTTCTGTAGGATAATTCCCCAATTAATTGGGAACTTCTCGCCCGTATCCCCTTTATTTACACGCAGAGTCGCCATATGTTCATTACTGTGTGACTTTGTCAACATATGAAGACGATAGTATTTCATCTCCAAGACGATAGCAATTCACACAACCACTGACATGCATACATTTCATTTTTCATCGGCTTCCTACTATTAGGGCATTATCCCTAACTCGAGCATTGTTTTGGGTGCACGGAATCATCGGATATAAGTGCTTATGGAAGAAAGGTGCTCCGAATGTCTCTTCCGACACGGAAATCTGAGTACTTTCTCAGCATCATCAGCAAGATGGATGTCACTATCCCATTTGCATTTTTAGGTTCTTTAAAGTGAGCTCTAATATGCTGTTGACGGAGCTACCGGAAGGTGTCTTTGGAACTGTCTCCTTCGAGCGCATTGAAATAATCTATGTCCCGAACTTAGTCACCGTCCATCCGTCAGTCATACTTCAATCAAGAGATACACTCCAATCTATGATGATCACGTCTGGTCGTCTCGGCGACTTCCCTTGGAGCATCTTACCCGAGATGAACAGCCTGAAGAACGTCAGTGTCGAAGGCCATTCCTTGACATCCCTTCCAGTCCTCCAGAGCTCAACCCTCGAGGGGCTCTACCTTCAATTGAACAGTATATCCGCAGTGGAAGCCGGATGGTCCATGCCACTCCTCAAAAATCTCTACTTGGGTGAGTGCAATCAACAAAGCACTCGACACATGTAAACAGTGTCGCAGTGAAGTAAATGGCTGAGGAAGACTTATGCAGGCTTATTTATTAATAATCCAATTTAATTTGTCATGTACATAAAGATTCAAACCAAGAGGCGTAAAATGTGTACTTACATATAATAATGTATCCTTTCTTGGATACAAGCTCGCTCAAAACCACGTATTTGGTAACGAATCCTTGGAAATGTGAATGGGTGCCGTTACTAGGATTGAATGAACCTTGAAAGACCGGATAGTGAGGGCTTGAAAAAAAAAATATAGTCACAGATGATGGTCACATCTGCCTTTTTCCTTTCCTTTCAGACGGAAATCCCATAACGAAGTTACCAACAGGACTACTTGAGGAATTTGCGAACTTGGAGAACTTCTCATGCATGAGGTGCTCCATGGGACCAACTATTCATACCGATTCATTGAATTTCAATAGTAATGTCTTGGAAGTATTGGACCTCGGTTACAATGGAATCACATTTTTGGAACCAGGAGCCATCACAGGTATTTCGAAGATACTCCTTCGACGACGACTCCATTTAAATATTTTCTTGGCTTTACTAAATTAGATGATATTAACACGCAAATAAGATATAACAAATGTTTAAGCTATGGGTTGTTTTAAGAAGGCAGTTACGCCTACTACCATTACTATATTTTAACTTAATAAGGATCATATAATATGACACATAAACGGCAAAAACTTTTGTGGTTACCTGATAATTCAGCCGCTTAGGGAAACATCCACGAATGCCTGTCCTATCGCAACACGAGCTTGTTTTGATTGAAGGGGATAGTGTATGGGATACCGAATCGAGCACTCTTTTAATGCCAGCGTCGGTATGATACTCGCGAGCTCCTGTACAAACGTAATGGTACCGAGTCATCAGACTTTAAGAGCTCTTTAAAATATTCATATGAAACGTTCCATAACATATGTCAGAAGTCCATAATGGGAGAAAGTAGAATATTGGTATTAATGCAAAGGAAGTAGCGGCGATGCCAGCACTCTAGTAATTTCTCCTGTCCTCCCGACACGAGGAGAAATAATTAATACTGATTTTTTTTTCAATAATCGGACATCGTAGTGTGACCTTCCTTTCCGAAAATTTATTAAAATAGCGTTCTATATAATCATATGGAGGGGAATGGGAATAGGATGTTGGATATTGAAAATAATGTTGAGGTTGTTTTGATGAATCAATCATCTTCATGAGTCAAATACGTGTAGACGTGATCATTGCCATTTTCATGTACGATTCACCAACGATTTAATAATTTTGAAGTTGAATTTGCGACTGACATTCCACCAGAAATGGAACCGAATAGAAGTCAACGAGGATATTCTTGTGTCCTAATCATAGCTGCGAAATTGATCGTAGGGAGTGTCTTAGGAGAATTTCCAGCAAAAAAATTAAACCACCAGCTGAGAAATCTCTCAAAACGTTTCTATACTCATTGTGCTTCGCATGTGGCAAACATTGAATGGAAAAAGTTGGAAAAGGCATCGATTATTTAGGGTCAGAAGCTGACATTCCTTACTACCCATTCTTCCACGTAAAGTCCCCTTCCTTTGGAATGATACAGTACTTTGATTGTCCATCCTATGTCGCAGGGAATCCCATCCGGTGTGATTGCAGTATGGCCTGGTTGGTCCTGAATCCAATTCTCTTTTTTAGCGTTACAGGGGAGTGCGAGGATGGTACTCATTTTGCCGATCTGAATGTGGAATCCTTTCTGGATTGTCTATTATGATGAATTCCCTCACGACAAATGATTGAAATTGGTTCACGTTGGTTACAACACATCCTGATTGATGAATAAACAAGTTATATGCTTCGCCTATTCAGATAATGGTCAAGCAGTGGATTGTCGTAATGTATCTTCGGATGGCATCTAATTTCAAGCTATGGGTGGAACATTAGATTACCGTTTAATTGTACTATATTGTTCCAAGCCATTTTACGCATATATATGTCTGAAGCAAACTTCTGAAGATTGGATGTTTTCTTACTGTTGACGACAATGTTTTCTTTAGTTATTCGCGTAAGCCCCGCTTTTATTTCTAAATGTTTTTCCGGAGTGAACGGGTAACGGATAAGCAAAAATGCTCGGTCTGGAGGCAACCTGAATGAACGGTAGGGCGAGGCCAATAAAGTAAATTGCAGAACGAGAATATTCTCATTTCCACTTTTCTTTCGGCCACTCTCGGAAGTTGACAATGAATTNGGATTTAACAAAGAACACACTTTCCAATCTTTTTAGATATATGTCCTCAAGAGACTAGCGTTCCTTCGGCAACCATTGTTGTAGTAATGAATAATTAATGGAAAGAGTAACGAATTCTGAATGAGATATAATCCCAACACCAAAGGGCTTAATATCCGTAGGTGTACAGTACGAACAGTGAGAGGAACAGAAACGAGCGAGACATTCACTCAAGCTCGAGCACAACACACCATAAAAGTGATGAACGACTTCTAAAGCACACTTCTCCATTATTTGGAACCATTGACATATCTGGTGGAAAATTGCCTATCCGAAAAGGAGGAGAGGTGGTTCTAAGTATTCGCGACTGCAATTAACTAGAATAGATTCCGTAATTGTCTGATATCTTATTTCCTGCAGCACTTTTTTAAATGTTCATTGGAATGACACATATTCAGCCTGCTACTACAGAAGAGGTCATTTGAACATTGAACCCCCGTGGAAATGTGAAAATTATCCGCACCGTTTTTAGTTCTATGTAAGAAGCTGCTAATTGATACTAGTAACTCTTCTTCGTTTGAGAGCGTTAAGAGTATGCTTAAGACAGAACCTGGCCTGTCTGCCTGTTTGTGTAAGCACAATCTGCAGTATATGTTTGTGGGAACCCGACTGCCCAACACGTTCAGGAATATTGATTAAACCTCAAAATATTCGCAAAAAAGACATTTATTTGACTTTAAAGAGACCTTTTCCAATTTTTTGCCGAAAGGAATTTTAAATTGGAATACCCCTCATCTTTTCCAGGTCTTGCGAGAGGCCCTCTCATGTTTCTCAACAATAACCTGATCACGGAAATTGCGGAAGAGTCATTTCGCCCGATGGTGGAAGTCCTATCAATGGGGCCTGGAGTCATCATTCTATCTGGTAATTTCTGGAATTTTCTATAAAAAATGTTGGACTAGTTAACCATCAAAATGCAGAAGTGCAAAAAGAGCGAGAGTAATACACAAGGGGTTCGAGCCTCACTTCTTTGAAGAAGGAAGAAAAAAGATAGCATAACTGTTTCAAACGGAGAATCAGCTGGTGCAGAATTAGTAATTCCTGCTTGCGCGTACAGGGTCATAACCCTGTAATGTTTCTCAAGCTTGTCGGAACCTACAGGTCGGAACCTTGACGTAGATCATAATTTTAAAATTACGTCATATTTTTGAAACTAAATATTTTTCAATTCAGCCGCTAAGGGAAACCTCCACGAATGCCTGTCCTATCGCAACACGAGCTTGTTTTGATTGAAGGGCATGGTGTATGGGATACCGAATCGAGCACTCTTTTAATGCCAGCGTCGGTATGGTACTCGGGAGCTCGTGTAATAACGTAATGGTACTGAGTCACCAGACTTCAAGAGCTCTCTAAAATATGCATGTGAAACGTTCCATAACATATGTCGGAAGTCCATAATGGGTGAAAGAAGAATATTGTTTTAATGCAAGGGGAGTAGCGGCGGGGCCAGCACTCCAGTAATTTCTTGCGTTCTCCCGTTCTTCTGACACGAGGAGAAATAATTAAGGCTGATTTTTTTTTCAATATTCGGACATCGTGGTGTGACCTTCCTTTCCAAAAATGTATTACAATAGCGTTCAACATAATCATAAGGAGGAGAATGGGAATAGGATGTTGGATATTCAAAAAAATGTTGCGGCTGTTTTGATGAATCAATCATCTTGATGAGTCAAAAAGACGTGACCATTGCCATTTTCATGTACGATTCACCAACGATTGAAGTATTTTGAAATTGAATTTGCGACTGACATTCCTCCAGAAATGGAACCGAATAGAAGTCAACGAGGATATTCTTGTGTCCTAATTATAGGTGCGAAATTGATCGTAGGGAGTGTCTTAGGAGAATTTCCAACAAAAAAATTAAACCACCAGCTGAGAAATCTCTCAAAACGTTTCTATACTCATTGTGCTTCGCATGTGGCAAACATTGAATGGAAAAAGTTGGAAAAGGCATCGATTATTTAGGGTCAGAAGCTGACATTCCTTACCACCCATTCTTCCACGTAAAGTCCCCTTTCTTTGGAATGATACAGTACTTTGATTGTCCATCCTATGTCGCAGGGAATCCCATCCGGTGTGATTGCAGTATGGCCTGGTTGGTCCTGAATCCAATTCTCTTTTTTAGCGTTACAGGGGAGTGCGAGGATGGTACTCATTTTGCCGATCTGAATGTGGAATCCTTTCTGGACTGTCTATTATGATGAATTCCCTCACGACAAATCATTAAAATTGCTTCACCTTGGTTACAACACATTCTGATTGATGAATAAACAAGTTGTATGCTTCGCCTATTCAGATAATGGTCAAGCAGTGGATTGTCGTAATTTATCTTCGGATGGCATCTAATCTCAAGCTATGGGTGGAAAATTAATTACCGTTTAATTGTACTATATTGTTCCAAGCCATTTTACGCATAAATATGTCTGAAGCAAACTTCTGAAGATTGGATGTTTTCTTACTGTTGACGACAATGTTTTCTTTAATTATTCCCGTAAGCCCCGCTTTTATTTCTAAATGTTTTTCCGGAGTGAACGGGTTACGGATATGCAAAAATGCTCGGTCTGGAGGCAACCTGAATGAACGGTAGGGCGAGGCCAATAAAGTAAATTGCAGAACGAGAATATTCTCATTTCCACTTTTCTTTCGGCCACTCTCGGAAGTTGACAATGAATTTCGTACATATTCCCCGAGGCAATGCATCAGAGATCTACAATCTGCAGCACAAAGAGATCATGAAAAGAAATTTATGACGTACAAGAGGAATGAAATACGATTACGTACGACGCGTTTGAGGTATCCTCGAGCCCATTCTCATCATTTTCTCTTTAAATCAGATGGGGGTGAATAGAAGGAATTCAGGGGTTGATCAGCCGTACATATGAATGTTTTGCGTAATGACGAATTCGCTGAATGTTGCCCATTCGCTTGTAATGATAACAATGTGATGATAATCATCGGCTAAATTTACATTGCGCAACGAACATTTTACCCCCTTACTCCTCTGCTTTAACATAAGCCTCAGTTATCTTAGCCTAAAGTTCAGGGCCTACAAGGCTATTACTTTTTCGGCCATAGGCTAAGAAAAATTACTCGCGAAAGGACTCAAAAAACGGAGTCCACCGTGAGCGGTGCGCAAAATGTTAAGCGAATATTGATCTATTTCTTTGCCGATGAGTATTTAAAAAAAAATGCATCATATTATTTGGCACCCCTGTCGGATAACAGAGAACGCGCCCGGTCTCACGGAAACCTTTGTTGAAACGGATCTTTCGCAATTCCTTATCATGGAGTGCGTCACATGCGGATTTTCTCATGAAAAAACTGCTCGTAAATAGCGCTTAGAGATCTGGTGAGAAAATGCATATTCATTTCCATTCTCATCTTGTGCTGCTTAAAATTTCGTCGATGATCGAGATTATGGGATTACGAATCATCATTTCCCTTTCCTTCTTTTTGCTTTTCTTCTTGCCTTGGATATCAGGACAGTACCCATCTCCGAATTTAGAGGAAATTCTCCCCTGTACTAGCGAATATGACACAGTAGATTCAACATATACAGTATGTCCGTGGAATGTTATGAAGGGACAGGAAATTAAATCTTCTCCGTCTTCAACGACGTCGCCTGCAGTTCATTCATGACATGAATGAGATGCTGGGTGTCGTAAATATCTCAGCAGCTGTAAAGATTTTGACGATTAAAATGCAGCATTTACTCAAAGAGAATATCGTTCTTTAAGGCTTACCTTGCTTATAAATGAATTCAACATTGTTACTCGAATCATCGCCTGTACAGATTTTTCCATCTCAGTTCAGTTGTACCTGTATAAAGCCTGCAGGTTTCATTTACCCGTGTTCATCTTCGGGACCCAATCAATGAATGGAGCGAAGGAGGCGATTGTGAATGGAGATGAAGAAAAAGATATCACCAGTATTTCATCACGGACTCTTAAAATCTCAGGATTTCCGGCAGCAAGGGGGAGGCATCATAGTGAGCGACGCCACCGTTCCCTTGCGATTATAGCGGCAACTCTCGTCTCCTCATTCTTCCGAGAGATGGCGAGACGAACGCGAATATCCGATTATTCCATGAAAGTTCCATCCTCTCCCTTTCCTGTGGCCGTATTTGTAAATTTCATTTAATAAAGGCACATTCTCGGTTGATAATGAAGAGTTCAGTCGAAACTTCAAGTTCATATCTCTTAAGTGTTTGGTCTGAGGAGCCGTCACACTCACACACACACACACAAACACACAATTGTCACTCGGATTTGCTAGCGGTCAGGATCATACACCCTATATGTTTAACCTTCGTACCTCGGTTGCTTCGCAACGGTGGTCCTCCGGTTTGAATCAGATGACTTTCAGCTCGTACAATTAGTCAGGCGTAGCCAGCGCGACTAATAGACACTGCTTAAAAGGAATGTATCCCTGAGTGAATGATGAGTGAATTAAGAAATATTGAACGATAAGCCTAATAGCCGTTTCGTGTATTTCAAAAAGGTTTTTCATACTTAGAATGAATATTGTTTCAATTCGCCCCTACGCATGCTACAGTTAAACCTAAAGCAATAGAAGAACTAACTTGGCAGAAAAATTCCTTATCCCAAACCTTAGCCGATGATGGGAACGAAAATAAATTAGAATGCACGTACCACGTTAGGACTGATAAGCGCAGTAGAACATAATAATCCAGATGAACTCAAAGGGGCCCAACCTCGCGGAACTTCCACATGCGCACGCAACGCGAAGGGACGCCAGGGCGAGTGCCATATTGCATCGATGACGTCAAATGACAATTATCGCTGGTCTTCTTCCTTACCATGCACGTTCACCATTGAATTTAGCAAAATATGGCCGCATGGACAAATATTCGAAGCATACTTGCGTATGTGGATATGCTGCAACTGCACACAGCCACCTTAAACCATGGCATCTATCAATACTTTGAGAGTGTTGCCTACTACTTTTGACTTACAGTATTTTACAGTACAGTACAGTACAGACCATATTTTTTCATGAAATCCCTGACAATTTTCGAGTTAAAGCCCAAATGATTCTTTGCAATGCGGAAAAGCTTTGAAACCAGAATGGAAAGGAAAATTCAAATTGGGACTCAGCCTGAAAAACCAGGACGTCTCGTCATCCCAACTCAGTGAAAGGATCAGTTTAAGCTGTTATTAAGCTTTAGTAATTAAAAATCTTAAGTTTAAAATATGTACAAAACTGTTCTTATTAAGATGAGTATGGACATTGCGTTTGTAATATGTGCTGTCCATACCGACTATGAACGGGTGGCAAGCCTAATGACGACCTCGAGTTTTCTTCACTCTTCACCGAGGAACGCCTCCAGAATGATGTCTGGCAACACCCCAAGGGATACCAAGTCACGCCTTAAGTCAGTTTGGTCAGGCATGTATGGGCAAAAGTAGCCTAAATGAATGGCATGAACGAATCAGGAGTAGAAGAGAAGATCTGTGTGATAACGTCAGAGAAGGACAACCTCAAACATTCACATCAGAAACACAGTCCAAACAGATTGATGAAGCCATTCGTGACAACAGACGTGTTAAACCGAAGGAACTTTTCTGTAAGATTCAGTATAAGTTATGGTTCAGTGCAGTCCATTGTAAATGACAAGCTCCACCATCGCAATAGTTAGTGCTAAATGGGTTCCGCGAATGTTGACCAACGTGTCACTGTTTGCCTACTGAGCCGATGTAATCGCGAAAAGGAACAGTTTCTAATGAACATTGTCACCGCTGATGAGACATGAATCCATTTCTTTGAGCCCGAGAACAAACGGCAGTCAAAGCAAAGGCGTCATTCTTCGTCTCCCAAACCAAAGAAGTTCAAAGTCATGCCATCCCCAGTAGCACATAACACGAAATCAACATTTATTCAATGTTGAAACAACATCCAACATAAATCAACATTAAATTCATGTTGTTTCAATGCTATGTGCTACTAGGGACCAGCGGAATGTCATGGCAACCTTTATTGGGGATTCGAAAGGAGTGATATTCACTGACTTCCTTCGGCAAAAAGCCACAGTGAATGCTGAATACTACAGCGACCTCCTGAAGGGACCACTTCGAGAAGCAATCCGCCGAATGCGATCAGGCATGTTGTCTTCAGGCGTTGTTCTGCAGGACGAAAATGCGCACCCACATAAGGCTAAAAGAAACGCTGGAAGTATAAAGAATCTTGGCTGGGATATCCTTCCACCTTG